CCAGGAGAATAAGGAGGAGCAGTGTAGAGCAGAGGACGAATATGCACAGAAATAAGAGGGCAGGCCCAACGACAATATTGAAAACGACATAGCAGCGAAGCCAAATCTGACACAGAAGCTGTTATACAGCCCCATCAGGAGGAAAACCAAACATCAAGGACCAGGTAATCAGGCTAAGGAAGGAAGGAGGAGAGACAACAAGAAATGACCATGAAGTATGCGAGAACTCAACAAGAGATTCAAGAAGTGTTCACGAGGAGACAGAAGGGGCTCCAGAGGGACGGAGAGGTGTGGCACATCACCAGGTGCTGGACACGGTACACACAACTGAGGAAGAAGTGAGAGGCTTTGAGTGAGTAGAGACCTCAAAGGCAATGGGCCAGAAAACATCTCTCCATGGGTCCTGAAAGAGGGAGCAGAGGCACTGTGAGTACCCCTAACAACAATATTCAATACATCTATCGAAAAACAGATAGGGAGATGGCCTGAGGCATGGAGGACAGCAAATGTAGGGCCCAATCTTTAAAAAAGAGTCAGACATGAAGCACTACGCTTACAGACAGTGTCACTGACATGTTTAGTATGCAAGTCATGGAGAAGATTGATCAGGAGAAGAGTGGTGTGGAACACACTAGAATGAATGATCTCATAAGAACAGCACCCCTACATGGTTTCAGGGACGGAAATCCGGTCACAAACCTAATGGAGTTCTATGACATGGTGACAGTCAGTAAGACAAGAGAGAGGGGGTGGAGGTGGATTGCATTTTTTCTTGGACTGCAAGAAGGCGTTTATCACCGTACCACACAAGAGATAGTGCCAAAACTGGAGGACCAAGCAGGGGATTAACAGGGAAGGCACTACAAAGGATCATGGAAATATTTGTCAGGAAGACAGGCAGCGAGTAAATGGTACGTGGCGACGGTGTCAGACTGGGCCAACCTGTGACCAGTGCTTGTGTCTGGTATATGTGAAGACATGGAAGAAGGAATAAAACTCTGAGGTGTAACTGTTTGCAGATGATGTGAGTTGATGAGAAGAATTCATTCGATCGAAGACCAGGCAGAAACTAAAAGGGATCTGACAGGCTGCAGACTGGTCCAGCAATTGGCTCCTGGAGTCAAATCCCACCAAGTGCAAAGTCATGAGATTGGGGAAGGGCAAAGAAAGACCGCAGATGGCATTACAGTCTAGGGGCCCAGAGACTACAAACCTCACTAAGGAAAAGATCTTGGGGTGAGTTTAACACCAGGCACATCTCCTGAAGCGCCACATCAACCAAATACACTGCCTGCAGCACATGGGACGCCTGGCAAATCTCAGAACAGCATTCCGACATCTTATAAGGAGTCGTTCAGGCCCTGTACACCGTGTACGTTTTAGGCCCATATGGAGTATGTGTGCACCAGTTTGGTACCCACACCTAGCCAAGATGTAAAGAAACTAGAGGAAGTGCAAAGGTTTGCCACAAGACTAGTTCCAGAGCTAGGGTATTCCTACGAGGAGAGGTTAAGGGAATCAAACCTGACGACACTGGAGGTCAGGAGAGATAGGGCGGGGACATTGATAACGACTTACAAAAATACTGAGTGGAATTGACAAGGTGGACAAAGACAGGATTGTTCCAGAGGACTGGACACAGCAACAAGAAGACACAGTTGGAAGCTGAAGGACACAGCATGAATCACAGGGATGTTAGGAAGTATATCTTCAGCCAAAGAGTAGTTCAGGGAAGTGGAATAGTTTTAGGAAGAGATGTAGTGGAGGCAGGATCCATACATAGCTTTAAGCAGAGATATAATAAAGCTCATCATTCAGGGAGAGTGACCTAGTGGCGACCAGTGAAGAGGCGGGGCCAGGAAGCTTGGACTCGACCCCTGCAACCTCAACTAGGTGAGTACAACTAGGCGAGTACACACGCACGCACACATGGACACATGCACACACGCACACGCACACACACACAACTACACACAACACACACACACACACACACACACACACACACACACACACACAGAAGGGTACAGAAGTCTTGATCCAATGTTCATCAACTTAGCTGCTATCTCTCCATCTTACTATCAGAAGGCAAACACTACTTTTCAAGCCTCTAACAAGCTGGTTTTGCTAGCCTTTCATAGATACTACCTTGTTTACATGACAACAAACTAAATCCCATAGGCCACTCCAGTCTACCTTACCCACAATACCTAGTGAATGTCCTCTGAACAAACTTTCTGAACACTCCTTCCAACAGTTTCCTTGATACACACACCAATTGCTGTTGCACTTGGTAATTTAAAAAGGCCCTACAATATGTGATGCAAACTACTAGTGAAGAAAGAAAAGGGCTTTGTAATGTACTCGCCCTTCTAATTATTTTCTACAGTATTTTCTCTGAAGTACTTGCTTATATCTATCACTGTGTTTGGAAATGGAACTGGTGAAAGTGGCTGGACATTACTAAAGATCATATATTTGTAAGGATGAATGACATACTGTATATGGTATGAATGCAAAATAGTAAGCAGGTGGTGTCAACAGAAGTAAAGTGCAGTCTTAAATGGGTTTGAAGGGAAATTAAAAGATGGGAAACTTTAAAAATGATTACAATAAATAATTTTTAAAGCAAGAGTGCATCCAATACTAAATCAGTAGCTGAATATTTTACAAGCTTTAGTCTGCCTGTAATGAAGAAAATTACACATGTAGCACTGTGTTAACCTTACATTTATTATTAAAAGTTTTTTTTAACACATCAACCATCTCCCACCAAGGCAAGGTGACCCAAAAGAAAGAAAAACCTAAAAAGAAAGAAAAAAAACTTTCACTATCAGTCAACATTTTCACCATCACTCATACATAATCACTGTCTTTGCAGAGGCGCCCAGATACGACAGTTAGATAGTCACTCCCAACTGCCAATATCCCCAACCCCTCCTTTAAATACTGTATTTAATATGATAGTGTGAAAAGAAAACTAACCATCACTTTCTTATTACATTAACACAAGACATTTAACACTGAGATATAACAAAAAATACTGCTATAAATTCAAACTCTACTGAACTTCTCAAGACACAGCATACATGATCAAAAAGTTAAGAACTGTATTTGCCGAAAAACATTAAAAAGATAGCAAATGCTTAATTTAAAAATATATATAGTACACACCCTTCCTGATGATATTACTATAATATACAATACAGTATAAACTTATTTAACATGTACAAGAATACAAAATTTCTAAGAAAGTGAGAGAGCCAACAAGTAGCTTGACACAGTATCCGCACCCTTCATCATCTCACCTGATGTAAGGCTCAACAGAAAGAAGAACGAGTAACAGAAAAAACTCTTGAGGATTTGAACAAAAGAACATGATGAATGCTGCCTGAAGATTGTTGTGAAGAATACCATGGAAATAAGAAGTGGCACATCAAGTATAGAACAGGTCCTATGATGACATGAAAAAACAAAGGTTAGAGGGCCATAGGGATGCATGGGGGATTTACTATCAACACCTTACAGGAGAGTTCCCAAGGTAACATGGATTCAGAAACCATTTGACAAATGGACAGCTTTTAGACATAAACCCCTATAGCCTATTTTCCTAACTCAATTATAACATAATGAACCGTTTGGCCATAATAAAAGCCCTAATGTTTTTACATATTTATCATATGTTTATTCTTTCCCATCTATTAAGAGCATACCATATATGCATTATTTAGAGAAAATATCTAAATCTATTTGTCATTTTGCCTACACTTCACTGTGTTAGATCAAAACAAAATGCATATTACAAGGATTTTATTTTTTCTAATCCTTGCTTCCTTTTTCTTGTTACAGTCCCTTACAGTCACCTCTCTAAGGAAGTTCCTCCTTGATTCATCCTTCAATTACAGAATATTTGCCCAATATTAATCCTAAATATTTCAATCCCTTAACAATACTTAAACATTACCAGAATCCTACAATCATGAAGAAAACCAAATTATTTTTAAGTATACTAGAGCAAAACATATTTCAATTTCTCATTTTCAAATAAATATCACTTTTATCAATGCATCCCTTCAGCATTGTTACATAATCAACATGGAACTCAATTATCACCGACTGCACGAGAAATAAAATATTGCAAAAATCAAATTGACAAAAACCTAGTTTTAATTTAGGCTTACCTCGCCTATGCTGGTTTAAATTTAAGTACGGTACTACAAAGACATGCAGATGTACAATACATACACACTAAAAAAAAATCACAGTAACATATAAATAAAACTTTTGATAACTAGTCATCCATTTAGAAAACAACGAACAAACTCTTTCTGTTCTTCACCATATATTTTGATTTAAACAATACTGCAACCAAGAAGTTTACATTGCAAAAGGAAAATTAAAAAAAAAAAAAATTATAACTCTGCATCATAATTTAGTGTTCAGAGACTGAGAACATTGCTGGACAAACTAACATATTCAAGATTTACTCCATTCATAGCTCTATGGGGACCATAGCCCACTGAGTTCAAAACTATTATTAATGAGTCCAAGATTTATAAACAGACCTATGCTGCTAATTTATATTTTTCATATATTATGTCCTTCAGCCAATGTCAAATATCCTGAGCATTGCCTAAATTTACTTTCTCATTAGTACCCTTACTAGGCCTTGATCTCTCCTATAATATATGCACTGCTATACATAAACATGTTATGTGTGCCAAATCAGTAGAAAATTTTAAGAAAAATTTGTCACATTAGCAAGTATTACTATTACATTTCAAAAGTGTGCATATATTAAGGGTATGTACATATGCACATCCCAGTTGCCTTTGTCTAAACTAAGCAATAATCTCAGTCCAGAAACACTAAAGCACATTTAAGAAAGCTTTAAAACATTTTTAAGGCAAAAAAATATTGAAGATCTATTGGGAGAAACACCTAAATGAAGTAGCACAATGTACGCCATATAAGGTTACCATGAGCTTTTTGACAGTTACCAATCTAACCCTGTCTCGTGTATCCCGCATATCATCCAGTTCCAAAGCTTCACCATCAGACATGATGCATCTGGAGCCATCAGCGCACACCATCACCAGTCGGCACTTCACCATGTGCACCATTCCCACCCAGGAGTCTAAAGCTACAGCAATATCAGTTGTAAACTCCTGAAAAGCAAGAAAATTAAATTTTAAAAAATTATTTCAATACACTATTAGGCAATATTTAATGACTATATAAAAAATTAATCAATGCTCTATAACAATTAGAGTATCTACATAACACTTCCTCTAATACTTTTAAAAATATGAACAGCCCCATAGATGGTAGTGTCAATGATATACAATTTTATTAATTTGTGCATGGTGCCAGAATGAAAAGGTAAATTCTAAAATCTCCAGGGCACTGAGACAAATAGATTAGTCAGCACTAAGTCAATAAAAAGGTATATATACATCAGCTTGCATATCATACTCTCTCAAGCTAAAACAAAGTCATCAAAATAAAAATTAATCACACTATCAGTAAAAGATAAAATAATACGCTCGCATATGGGTAAAATATCCAGAGTCAATTAAAAGACATATCAAACTTTTGCAGAATGAGGTGGTGTTTTCAAAAAACGGCAACAGGAGCCAACTTTTTTATAAAAAAAAAAGGGTTTATAACCCCCATAGCCCCAACCCTCATTTAAAACAGATCTCAATTTAAATGAATTGGGAAAATAGTATGAGAAAATCTGCTAATCAAATATTTGAAAAAAGACAAAGTACATTTTTTCCCAGAATGTCCATGTACAATCCGGAAAAACAAAGTCTCCCTTCTATCCCCACAGCTACATGCCCAGCCCCCTTACCCCCCCCCCAATCTCTTAGTACTGCATGGTTTTATCCAAAAATCTTCCCCCAGCTATTTAAAAATGGAATAAGTGCTTGTACTGTTTTAAAAAGGATTTTCAATTGTATTCTAGTTTTTTATACTTTTGAAAAATCTAAAAAATGATTGGCTTCATCATAGCAAAAAAAATGTCAAGATAAAGTCAAATTGATTCCAAAATAATGTCTCAAGTCACCACGTTTTTCCAGCAAGGTGGTCCAGCCCCCTTTAGTCCGGGAAAAATTACGAGCGGGAACTTGAAATTCCCACACCTGCTAGACCGGTTACGGGCACCCCAAAGATGGCCTGAGTGTAGCTGTGCTCACATGGTTTGTATGCATGTTGCCAAAGGATATGTAATTTTGATAAAAATCGGGCTGAGTGGACGAGGACAATAAAGGAAACCTTTGTGAATCATTTTACGGACTCAGAAATTATACACTTCTGAAGCGGAAAAAAATAAAAAGGATGAAGATAAAACGATGTAGTAAAAGATTTCCTATGAAAATTAATTGGTTTGGGGTTGAATGAATTAATCAAGGGGCCAAAAAACTACCACCTTTACAGAACAAAATAATGATTTGCATTTTCCTAAAAAATAACCAGGGAAGGATCAAAAAACATGAACAACTTTTGGATGAAAGTTTCAAAAGACTGCCAAAAAAAATGTGGGTTTCCCCTTTTCTTCAACTTCAAATACCCTTGAGGGCCACGCCAGCAACACATCAAACCAAGATAAATGATTAAAAATGAAATGACAGTAATCATGAACCTCAACTTCCAGATAAATATTCCATTAAAAAATCTTGCTTAATTTTTTTAAAATTTAATTTACATTTAAAATTTTTTTTTAAAATTAAAGGGGCTAGCAGTCCCTGGTGCTTTAGTGAATTTGAAGTGTATAATTGAGGGTTAGTATGTATGATGAAGGGGACCACACTGGTTCACCCCAAAACGGTTAATCGGCAAAGCTTTGGGAAACCCGGAGTGCCGGAAAACGGTTGGGGACCCGTAAAGAACTAGATTAACCCAAATAAAAAAAAAAATGCATATTTTTCATTCTATATTAAAAAAACAAATTTATTTAACCTTTTTATAACTTTTCAAGTGCAAACAAAAGGAGGGAAATTTTCAGAAAAAAAGACTAACACACTTGTAAAACTGATTTTTTTTAATTGGTACCAGTATAGAATGAAAGTGTCTTCAGGGTGTATTATTTGTATTGCCAAAACTTGAGGAACCCCCACAAACTACAGATTAAAAGATGGGGAGCTTAATATTGAACATTAATCAAACTACAGTATATATCTGACTAAGGAAAACAAAAAACAAATTAAATAAATCATATCTGGCTGGGAAAAATGCTTACCATTTTGAAAAATGGTATTTAGCTAGGAACCTAACATATCCATCACCTGATATCAAACAGTTCAGATACAAGATTGGTTGAAATCATAGTGGCTTTCAGTTTCACAATTTGGTAGTCCTATCTTGTCTGGCTCGTGACTTATGAAATCTGAACTTATGTTTTGTGGTGCAGGTATTTTTGCTTCAAGATCCATTTTTCTGTTCTAAAAGCAAAACAGTCTTGAATTATTGCATTACTTTTATTTAGGAATGTGATAATTGGTTAATTTTGGTATATGTAAACCTTACCTAACCCAAAAGAGTACATGTGGAGTAATCACATTAGGTTAATATACTGAAGTACAAAACCAATGTTGTGAATTAGGATAGGTTGTAACCAGACAAGGAAACCAGTAATCAACAAGCTTGACTTTAATTACCTCAAGGGGAGTGAGGTCATTACTATCAACATTTAATATTACATGCTTTGTTCCCACAACTTGCACACTGGAAGTCACATGAACTTGGCGGCAATAACCTCGCTGTGTGTCCTTTCCCCGAATCAAACGACGTACAACATCACCAGGCATTAGTGAGCGATCTGCCAGTCCTACCTGCAAACATAAAACAAATGTAAAATGAATGTTATGTAAACAGATTTCAAATAAAAGTACAAAAATTACAAAAAAAATCATATATTAGTACGTTTATTTAGGTACAGGTACACATCAGTACAGTACAACCCCCGTATCCACTGATTCGGTATCTGTGGTTTCAGTTATCCACGGTTTACTCTGGCCTAAAAATACCTCTCAATTTTGCATAATCATAGCCCCAAAGTGCAAAAGTAGAGAAACTGGCAGTTCTTCAAAGCTTAAGAGCAGCCGTGAAGTGCTTCCCGTCAGTGAAAAAGTGATAAGTCTCCACTTACTGTGGATAATTTATCAATTAAACTTTATAATAGATATGTATAGAACTTGTATACAAGGTTTGCTACTATCCACACTTTCGGTATCCACGGCAGGTCCTTGGAACGTATCCCGTGCAGATGCAGGGGTCCTACTGTACAATTATTATCCATAGTGTAAATTACCTAGGATAACCCAAAAAAGTCCTAGGTAAACAGCAACCCCCCAGGGAGATACTATCGTCCTACCAAGTGAGTGTAAAATGGAAGCCTGTAATTGTTTTACATGATGTTAGGATTGCTGGTATCTTTTTTCTGTTTCATAAACGTGCAAGATTTCAGGTATGTCTTGGTACTTCTACTTACACTTAGATCGCACTACACATGCATGTATACAAGCATATATATACACACCCTTCTGGGTTTTCTTTTTTCTTACTGGTTCTTGTTCTCGTTTATTTCCTCTTATCTCCATGGGAAAGCAGAACAAAATTCTTCCTCTCCAAGTCATGTGTTGTAAGAGGCAACTAAAATGCCAGGAGCAAGGGGCTAGTAACCCTTTCTCCTGTATGTACATTACTAAATTTATAAAAAAAAACTTTCATCTTTACGTGCCAGCGTGCCCCGTTGTGCTCCGTGTTTTCTCGTGTTTTCACGGTCGCTCTTACGTGCTAGAACTTTAATTTGTGCCATCAATCTTATACGATACATCCCTCTAGCTCCTGGAACCAATCTTGGGTGGAAGACATTATATACTGAGTCAAATAAGGAGAATTAGTGTGCACTACCTAGCAGAGTTTACTGCCAGAGGGGAATAGGCCTAGTGTGCCATGTGCAAAATAATAATAATAGAACTTTTTTTTGTCAGAGGAAAGAAAGTCTCCCTGATAATATTGTGTATACATAGTGTATAGTGTATACTACAGTGGCTCCCTAGTATAGATAATAGTATATAGATAATAAAGGCTAAAGTGTCATTTGAAAACAGGTGAATTTGTAAATGAAGTGATAAGCCTATAGAGGCAGGTGCCAGAAGTCGCCAGAAACTTACCACACTGGTCAGCTGTTTTAAATCTTCCTGGCCTGCTAGTGTACTCGCATATAATCTAGGGATACCAGTGATTAGCAGAATACAGTTTTGTAGTAGCAACTAACCAGTATTGTAATAGTACTTAGTGGAGTGGAGTGACTTTCAATGGTTTCTATTTTCTTGAAATACCAGACGTATACTGTGAATCTCATATAACCTGTAGTTACCAGCGGTCGCAATATACATAACGAGAAGCAAATATTACTACAGAAAAAGCGTCCTTCCTCCAAAATTTCCACCAGTCAACTATAGTGATAATATAGCATTTATTGCGGTGGAGACAGAAAAAACCTATAAAAGCTAGATACAGTGATTGATAAACAAGGGTTGAGGTCGACCATTCGTCATTGTAGGAGCTGCCAGCAATCACCGGTTCTTCAACACACAAGTTATACTTTTTGTATTAATCAAATCATATATTACTCAGGTAGATAACTTCCAGTAGATCCTTCATGTGTTAGCCCAAATCACCGACCAGTATGTTTTAAATAAGTGACCCACTGATCACATCAGACTGGTTCCAAACCCTGGGACGGGTTTCCGAACCCTCGACCGATTTAAAAACGGATTCTTTTGGACAATAAAGCACACTGCAAATGGATGGGTTGTAGGCCCCCCTTTAAATAAACACAAACAATAAATAAAAAACAGGAACGTACTCCAGTAAGCTGTCCTAACATATAAGTACAGTTAGAAATAGAAATACAAATAGCCAGAGCTTCACTTTAAGGAGGTTATTAATAGAGTATTCAAGAGATTGCTAGTAGAATTACAGTAATTCAACCATTCAAATCATTATGAAGCTCTGTGTAGTCTGCAATCAATAAAAACAAACGGGCTTCCACATGGATAAATTGTCATTTTTGTGGAAATTGGTGTCACGCCCCTTGTGCAAATATCCAAGAACTAGCTACAAGAAGTATTAAAACAGGGAAGTGTTTTTTGGGTTGTCCAAATGAGAAAATCTGTGGACAAATTTTCACCTTTGGGTATTAAAAGAGGATAACATCAAAGCTGCTTTCATAGACAACCTGGAAGCTTTCTACAACAGATGGGAACATAAAAAGTCTGGGCTGGATGGTACTGCCCTTGATGCTGGTCATGTAGACAGAAACTATAAGGCAGGAGGTGATGTCCTGGTTGTCAGTAAATGTGGGGCTGATAGTGCTGTCCTGGTAGACAGTAATGGTGAAGCTGGAGATTTTGTCCAGGTATGGGAGACAGGAGCCGTAGTGGGGAATCAAGTGTAGTCAAAGATAAGATTAAACCAATATTGCAAACTAGAAATACCACAGGAAATAGCAAACAAGAGGACTCCACTAGCAATAGTGAGGATATATTACCAAAAACAACTGGTGGGAGCTCCTTTGTTGGTGCTAGGGAGGATAGGAATAAGACAGGTAAACATGCGCCAACAGGGAATAGTCATAGAAACCCAAGGCAAACATGCACCAACAGGGAATACAGTCAGAGAAACCCAAGGCAAATGGAAACCAAGCCTGTGCACATACTATGCACTTCGTATCTGCAGGCATGGTAAATCTGGAAAAACAGATGGGACATGCAACTATGACCACCCTAGAAAATACCGTGCCCATATGACAACAGGAAAATGCAAACTCCCTTCCTGTAAGCTTTTTCACCCTGAAATGTGTCCCTCTTCAGTACAGGAAAGACTGTGCTATAATTTAAATTGCCAGGCACACCATCTAAAGGGGACAAGAAGATACAAAACATCCAGGCCATGGGAAAAACCTGGGTAGCCACAGCCACTCAAGAGGGAGAGGTTTTTTAGTGCCAAGAAGGGAAAAAAAAAATGGCAGAAATGGCGGAAATCGTTACACCAAATCCAGTCATTCCTGGAGTGGAACCAGAGTCAATGGCCTCCACTCCAAACCAACAGATACAGATACTAATGCCGGAAAAAAAAAAAACAGTACCAACAATACCACCAGTCCGATGACATTCTTCTTTGCAAATATACAGGGTCTAAAGCCAGAAACAAACAACAAAATACCTTTCATCCGTGGACTGCTTGCAGAGGCAAAGGCCCAAAGTTCGCGGCTTTTACCGAACCCACAAAAAGGGTCACTTGGACAACGAAATATGGATCCAAGGTTTCAACCTATACAGAGGCAACAGAGTGAACAGGGAAAAGGGGGGGGGGGGGTTGGCCTGTACACTGCAGAGTCACTTGTGCGCACAGAACTGCTGAATGCCTCAAATTATGTAGTGGAAGTTTTAGCAGTAAAGATCGAGAACCAAAACCTACTCATTGTGGTAGTCTACAAGCCTCCGGATGCAACATCCCAGCAATTCCAGGAACAGCTGTTAAAAATTGACCACTGTCTGGAAAATCTGCCAGCTCCTGCACCCAACATCTTGCTCCTGGGGGATTTCAACTTAAGGCACCTAAAATGGAGGAATATAGCAAATATTGTTGCAGTAATAACACCAGGAGGCAGCTCTGATGAAAACACACACAAGCTTTTAAATCTCTGCACAAAATTCAATTTAAACCAGCAAATAATAGAGCCTACTAGACTGGGGAATACAAATAGACCTCATCTTCACTAACAATGATGATCTGATACGAAATGTCACCATATCAAAAACAATATACTCAGATCACAACATAATTGAGGTTCAGACATGTATGCGCGGACCCCCAGACCGACATAATGAGATTAGTCACGAGGGAGCATTCACCAAATTCAACTTCAATAACAAAAACAAAGTGGGACCAAGTAAACCAAATCCTAAACTGAAAATAAGCTGGGAAAATATACTAAGCACACAGACCCCAACTTATGCCTAGAACAGATTAACTCGGTGGCGCTCGATGTATGCACAAGGCTTATTCCTCTAAGAAAAAAGGAGGGAGTAGATGTAAAATAGAAAAGGGGCAGGCGCTCCCTTTACAGGCGACGGAAAAAAAATAACAGAGCGGCTAAAAGAGGTCAATATATCTGGAAGGCGTAGGGAGACACTGGTCAGAGAAATAGCAAGCATCGAACTTAAGCTAAAGGAATCTTATAGGAGTCAGGAATCGCGGGAAGAACTAAAAGCCATAAATGAAATCGAAAGAAACCCAAAGTATTTCTTCTCCTATGCCAAATCAAAGTCGAGAACAACGTCCAGTATTGGGCCCCTACTTAAACAAGATGGGTCCTACACAGATGACAGCAAGGAAATGAGTGAGCTACTCAAGTCCCAATATGACTCAGTTTTTAGCAAGCCGCTAACCAGACAGAGTCGAAGATCAAAATGATTTTTTTATGAGAGAGCCACAGAATTTGATTAACACAAGCCTATCTGATGTTATCCTGACACCAAATGACTTCGAACAGGCGATAAATGACATGCCCATGCACTCTGCCCCAGGGCCAGACTCATGGAACTCCGTGTTCATCAAGAACTGCAAGAAACCCCTATCACGAGCTTTTACCATCCTATGGAGAGGGAGCATGGACACGGGGGTCATCCCACAGTTACTAAAAACAACATAGCCCCACTCCACAAAGGGGGCAGTAAAGCAACAGCAAAGAACTACAGACCAATAGCACTAACATCCCATATCATAAAAATCTTTGAAAGGGTCCTAAGAAGCAAGATCACCACCTATCTAGAAACCCATCAATTACACAACCCAGGGCAACATGGGTTTAGAACAGGTCGCTCCTGTCTGTCTCAACTATTGGATCACTACGACAAGGTCCTAGATGCACTAGAAAACAAAAAGAATGCAGATGTAATATATACAGACTTTGCAAAAGCCTTCGACAAGTGTGACAATGGCGTAATAGCGCACAAAATGCGTGCTAAAGGAATAACGGGAAAAGTCGGTCGATGGATCTATAATTTCCTCGCTAACATTACACAGAGAGTAGTAGTCAACAGAGTAAAGTCCGAGGCAGCTACGGTGAAAAGCTCTGTTCCACAAGGCACAGTACTTGCTCCCATCTTGTTCCTCATCCTCATATCTGACATAGACAAGGATGTCAGCCACAGCACTGTGTCTTCCTTTGCAGATGACACCCGAATCTGCATGACAGTGTCTTCCATTGCAGACACTGCAAGGCTCCAGGCTGACATCAACCAAATCTTTCAGTGGGCTGCAGAAAACAATATGAAGTTTAACAATGAGAAATTTCAATTACACAGATATGGCAAACACGAGGAAATTAAATCTTCATCAGAGTACAAAACAAATTCTGGCCACAAAATAGAGCAAAACACCAACGTCAAAGACCTGGGAGTGATCATGTCGGAGGATCTCACCTTCAAGGACCATAACATTGTATCAATCGCATCTGCTAGAAAAATGACAGGATGGATAATGAGAACCTTCAAAACTAGGGATGCCAAGCCCATGATGACACTCTTCAGGTCACTTGTTCTATCTAGGCTGGAATATTGCTGCACACTAACAGCACCTTTCAAGGCAGGCGAAATTGCTGACCTAGAAAATGTACAGAGAACCTTCACGGTGCGCATAATGGAGATAAAACACCTCAATTACTGGGAGCGCTTGAGGTTCCTGAACCTGTATTCCCTGGAACGCAGGCGGGAGAGATACATGATTATATACACCTGGAAAATCCTAGAGGGACTAGTACCGAACTTGCACATGAAAATCACTCACTACGAAAGCAAAAGACTTGGCAGACGATGCAACATCCCCCCAATGAAAAGCAGGGGTGTCACTAGCACATTAAGAGACCATGCAATAAGTGTCAGGGGCCCGAGACTGTTCAACTGCCTCCCAGCATGCATAAGGGGGATTACCAACAGACTCCTGGCAGTCTTCAAGCTGGCACTGGACAAGCACCTAAAGTCGGTTCCTGACCAGCCAGGCTGTGGCTCGTATGTTGGTTTGTGTGCAGCCAACAGTAACAGCCTGGTTGATCAGGCTCTGATCCACCAGGAGGCCTGGTCACAGACCTGGCCGCGGGGCCGTTGACCCCCGGAACTCTCTCCAGGTAAACTCCAGGTCTCCTTTTGGGCCACCCTGCCTCGGTGTGATATGGCCAGTGCGTTGAAAGCAGAACTCAAAAAAGTCAAAGAGACTTATTTAAAAGTCAAAGTGACTTATTTAAATCCATTGCAGGGAGACATTAATCTCATAAAAGCCATACAAAGCCTGGGGAATCAGCAGCAATCAGGTTCAATCCAAGGAAGAATGGGGAGGAAAAATCCAATTCCCTTTGGGCTCAAAAGTTTCCCCAGCATCAAGGAATTGTAACAAAATTTAAAGTTTATTTAGGTACAGGTAATATATGGTGGTTACACAAATTTAAGTGCTCATTTTTCATCATGTAACAGTAATTACCTAGTTTAACCCTAAAAAAAAAAAAAAGCCTGCCCCAAGAATCAGTTCTAATAAAATTAAAAAATTTTTATATTTACAAAGTTTGGTTTGTATAATGTTGGTGAATTATTGACTATGTTGGGAAAAAAGGACACAAGTAAAATAATGAAAATTTTAAATGACATCCCCATGCACTTGCCCCGGGGCCAGACTCAGGGAAACTTGTTTTTCTCAAAAAACTGCAAGAAGCCCCTATCCGAGCCTTTTCCTTTTCCTATGGAGAGGGAGCATGGAACCGGGGGTCGCCCCTCATTTACTAAAAACAAAAGACATAGCCCACCCCAAAAAGGGGGCAGTAAAGCAACAGCAAAAAAAACTACAGACCAATGCACAAAAACCCCCATTCAAAAAAATCTTTAAAAGGGTCCTAAGAAGAAAGATCCCACCCATCTAGAAACCCATCGTTACCAACCGGGGAAACAGGGTTTAGAAAGGTCGTCCTGTCTGTCTAAAAATTGGACATAGGGAAAAAGGTCCAAAAATGCATGAAGACAAAAAGTTTGCAGATGAAATATATACAGACTTTGCAAAACCTTCGACAAGTGGCCCATGGGTAATAGCGCAAAAAAATGCGCGCTAAAGGAATAACGGGGAAAATTTGGGTCGATGGATCTTAATTTCCCCCTAACAAAAACACAGGAGTAGTCGTCAACAGAGTAAAGTCCGGGCAGCTCGGTGAAAAGCTCTTTTCCACAAGGCACAGTACTAGCCCCTCTTTTCCCTCATCCTCAATCCGACATGACAAGGATGTCAGCCCGCACGTGTCTTCCTTTGCAGATGACACCCGAACTGCATGACAGTGTTTCCATTGAAACATGCAAGGCTCCGGGGCGGACATAAACCCCAAATTTTCAGTGGGTGCAAAAAACAATATGAAGTTCAACGATGAAAATTTCAATTACTCAGTTTGGGTAAACATGAGGAAAATTAAATCTTTTCAGAGACAAAAAAATTCTGCCACAAAATAGAGCGAAACCCAACGTCAAAGCCCGGGGGTTTGATTATGTCGGAGGATCTCCCTTCAAGGACCATAAATTGTATAAAATCGCATTGCTAGAAAAATGACAGGTGGTAATAAAAACTTCAAAATAGGGAGGCCAAGCCCAGGGGATGACACTCTTCGGGTCACTTGTTCTTTTTGGGCTGGATTTTTGCTGCACTTAACAGCAATTTCAAGGCAGGGGAAATTGCCGACTAGAAAATGTACAGGAAAAATTTCACGGCCGCCATAACGGAGATAAAACACCTCAATTACTGGGGGCGCTTTAGGTTTTTAAACCTTTTTTCCCCGGAACCAGGAGGGGGATCATTTTTTATATACACCTGGAAATCCCAGGGGACTAGTACCCAACTTGCACACGAAAATCACTCACTACGAAAGCAAAAGATTGGCAACGATCACCCCTCCCCCCCAAAGAAAACGGGGGTGTCACTAGCACGTTAAGAGACCATACAATAAGTGCAGGGGACCGAGACTGTTCAACTGCCTCCCCGCACCTTTTAAAGGGGGTTACCCAAAGACCCCCCGGCATTTCAAGTGGCACTGGACAAGCACCTAAAGGCAGTTTCCCGATCACCGGGCTGTGGCTCGTCGTTGGTTTGCGTTTTAGCCAGCAGCAAAACCTGGGTTTACAGGGGCCCGATCCACCGGAGGCCTGGTCACAGAGGGCCGCGGGGGGGTTGACCCCCGAAACTCTCTCCAGGTAAATCCAGGTAAGTGACTTTTTAAAGGAAAGTTTCAATTTCTAAACTTTGTCAACCTTGACAAAGTTGTGGAGAGAGAAACATTGCCACAATAAAATGTTACAAAATTTTACTTGTGTCCTTTAACTAACAAAGTCTAGTTTACACTTTATTTTAGAAAAAGTGACACTCCTGAAAAAAAAAATAAAAAATAATAATAATAATAATAATAGTAATATAATGTAAAATAATAGTAATAGTAATAGTAATAGTAATAGTAATTAATAATAAAATAATAAAATAAAAATAATAATAATAAAATAATTTTTAAATTTCATAAAACCCCTGGTTGAGTTACTTTGCCCTTTCAAATTATAAGGTTTAAATAAAATTACAAAGACCCCCAAAGGAAAAAGTCATTTGACTTTTTTAGGTTATCCTAGGAATTTACCTTCTAAACTGTACTTATGTGTACCTGTGTCTAAACACACTTACTTATGTAGAACATTTCATGAGTTTTTCAGTCTTACACCATCTCCTGGGGTACAGTAATAATAATGTGTCATTGCTATGCTTTATTTACATTAACCTTAACATATTTATTCCCTTTATGCCCATATTTATTTTTTGCATAAAAAGTGCATAACTATCAAAAAACTGACTAAATGGCAAGAAAATGTTTCAAAGGGATTGATACATTAAAAGGAACAATGCTTAAGCAGTTAAAGTAAAATAAAGTACAACTTTACTGGTTAAACGACAGCCTCGTTAAATACATCAAATATTTTTTAATTTCTTTATGCAGAAAGTCAATAATGGCAGGAACTAACACTCACTGGGATTAACCTATTTTATCTGGGATGTGAAAGACAGATGAGTGAAGATAGGTTATAAAACACGACAATGGAACCTCATAATACTTTCCTAACATCAGAGTTGGTCTTGTTAAGGACAATTAAGAGGAATAAAGTCGAGATATCGTACCTTCCTCTCAGGCAGGACCTGCTCCTCACCCTTGGGGTACCAGGCTACCCTGATGCTACCCTTGGTCACCTTATATTCCTCATCTACGTCACTCTCCTCATCACTAGAGACAAACTCAGCGTTCTCCAGCACCATACCAAGCTCCAGGTTGCCCTTCTTGTTGAATCTGTAGACCTCATCCTCGTAAAAGTACTGATACTCCTGCGCCATGTTGGACTCAACCAGTCAACTGAGCACTTCAACCTTCCTCAATACCACTATTAAAATAACTCTGAATCAACACTCGTCAAAATTAAATAATTATGAGCATTAATCAACTATAATTCTAATAATGAGAGCAAGAGAATAACAGATGAGTAATGAAGGAGAGGAGACTATAGAGGCAGATTAGCAGTGTGTCAGCAGACGACAGCAGCAGAAGCAGGTGACAGCAGACACCCCCTGGACCACCTCCCCTCTCTCACCCCTACGGGTTTACCCTTTACCTGTCATCGTAATAATAATGTCCTATTTAGAAATTATGTGTTTCTAAATATGACTGGGAAGAAAGAAATTCGTGACCATCTCTGCTCTCAGGTCTTTCCATGACCTGTGAAGAGGGGAACCTTGAAGAAGGGGAAACCTTGAAGAAGGGAACCTTGAAGAAGGGGAAACCTTGAAGAGGGGAACCTTGAAGAAGGGGAAACCTTGAAGAAGGGAACCTTGAAGAAGGGGAAACCTTGAAGAGGGGAACCTTGAAGAAGGGGAAACCTTGAAAAGGGGAACCTTGAAGAAGGGGAAACCTTGAAGAAGGGGAAACCTTGAAGAAGGGGAAACCTTGAAGAAGGTTAAACCTTGAAGAAGGGGAAACCTTGAAGAAGATTAAACCTTGAAGAAGGTTAAACCTTGAAGAAGGGGAAACCTTGAAGAAGATTAAACCTTGAAGAAGGTTAAACCTTGAAGAAGGGGAAACCTTGAAGAAGGTTAAACCTTGAAGAAGGTTAAACCTTGAAGAAGGGGAAACCTTGAAGAAGGTTAAACCTTGAAGAAGGGGAAACCTTGAAGAAGGGAAACCTTGAACAAGGTTAAACCTTGAAGAAGGGAAACCTTGAAGAAGGGGAAACCTTGAAGAAGGTTAAACCTTGAAGAAGGTTAAACCTTGAAGAAGGGGAAACCTTGAAGAAGGTTAAACCTTGAAGAAGGTTAAACCTTGAAGAAGGTTAAACCTTGAAGAAGGGGAAACCTTGAAGAAGGTTAAACCTTGAAGAAGGGGAAACCTTGAAGAAGGGAAACCTTGAACAAGGTTAAACCTTGAAGAAGGGAAACCTTGAAGAAGGGGAAACCTTGAAGAAGGGGACCTTGAAGAAGGGAAACCTAGAAGAAGGGGAAACCTTGAAGAAGGGAAACCTTGAAGGAGGGAAACCTTGAAGAAGGGAAACCTTGAAGAAGGGAAACTTTGATACTGAAAGTATTGTAATCCAGGGGACTGGAGCTTCCCCTTGCTTGGATCAAACCTGATTCTCTCCCATTCACCAGGCGCCGTATGAAACCAATCGGGTTTAACCCTTCCCCATGAATAAACAATGACGATTCGACATTCTGTTTCCTCTCTATGCGCTCACTCCCTTCCCCTCCAATATTCCTTTCCCCTCACCCTTCAACATCCCCTTCTCCCCTCCAACACACTCCTCTTCCCCTCCGACACACTCCCCTACATATTCCATCTCGCCTTTCCTTCAACATATTCCTCGTCTCCCTCCGCAGCATCTAGCCCATTACTAGACCTTCCTTACCCTCACTGGAGTTTACCTGGAGAGAGTTCCGGGGGTCAACGCCCCCGCGGCCCGGTCTGTGACCAGGCCTCCTGGTGGATCAGAGCCTGATCAACCAGGCTGTTACTGTTGGCTGCACGCAAACCAACGTACGAGCCACAGCCCGGCTGGTCAGGAACCTGGAGTTTTCCTGGAGAGAGTTCCGGGGGTCAACGCCCCCGCGGCCCGGTCTGTGACCAGGCCTCTTGGTGGATCAGAGCCTGATCAACCAGGCTGTTGCTGCTGGCTGCACGCAAACCAAAGTACGAGCCACAGCCCGGCTGGTCAGGAACCGACTTTAGGTGCTTGTCCAGTGCCAGCTTGAAGACTGCCAGGGGTCTGTTGGTAATCCCCCTTATGTGTGCTGGGAGGCAGTTGAACAGTCTCGGGCCCCTGACACTTATTGTATGGTCTCTTGACGTGCTAGTGACACCCCTGCTTTTCATTGGGGGGATGGTGCATCGTCTGCCAAGTCTTTTGCTTTCGTAGTGAGTGATTTTCGTGTGCAAGTTCGGTACTAGTCCCTCTAGGATTTTCCAGGTGTATATAATCATGTATCTCTCCCTCCTGCGTTCCAGGGAATACAGGTTTAGGAACCTCAAGCGCTCCCAGTAATTGAGGTGTTTTATCTCCGTTATGCGCGCCGTGAAAGCCCTCTGTACATTTTCCAGGTCGGCAATTTCACCTGCCTTGAAAGGTGCCGTTAGTGTGCAGCAATATTCCAGCCTAGATAGAACATGTGACCTGAAGAGTGTCATCATGGGCTTGGCCTCCCTAGTTTTGAAGGTTCTCATTATCCATCCTGTCATTTTTCTAGCAGATGCGATTGATACAATGTTATGGTCCTTGAAGGTGAGATCCTCCGACATGATCACTCCCAGGTCTTTGACGTTGGTGTTTCGCTCTATTTTGTGGCCAGAATTTGTTTTGTACTCTGATGACGATTTAATTTCCTCGTGTTTGCCATATCTGAGTAATTGAAATTTTTCATCGTTAAACTTCATATTGTTTTCTGCAGCCCACTGAAAGATTTGGTTGATGTCCGCCTGGAGCCTTGCAGTGTCTGCAATGGAAGACACTGTCATGCAGATTCGGGTTTCATCTGCAAAGGAAGACACGGTGCTGTGGCTGACATCCTTGTCTATGTCAGATATGAGGATGAGGAACAAGATGGGAGCGAGTACTGTGCCTTGTGGAACAGAGCTTTTCACCGTAGCTGCCTCGGACTTTACTCTGTTGACTACTACTCTCTGTGTTCTGTTAGTGAGGAAATTATAGATCCATCGACCGACTTTTCCTGTTATTCCTTTAGCACGCATTTTGTGCGCTATTACGCCATGGTCACACTTGTCGAAGGCTTTTGCAAAGTCTGTATATATTACATCTGCATTCTTTTTGTCTTCTAGTGCATCTAGGACCTTGTCGTAGTGATCCAATAGTTGAGACAGACAGGAGCGACCTGTTCTAAACCCATGTTGCCCTGGGTTGTGTAATTGATGGGTTTCTAGATGGGTGGTGATCTTGCTTCTTAGGACCCTTTCAAAGATTTTTATGATATGGGATGTTAGTGCTATCGGTTTGTAGTTCTTTGCTGTTGCTTTACTGCCCCCTTTGTGGAGTGGGGCTATGTCTGTTGTTTTTAGTAACTGTGGGACGACCCCCGTGTCCATGCTCCCTCTCCATAGGATGGTAAAAGCTCGTGATAGGGGCTTCTTGCAGTTCTTGATGAACACGGAGTTCCATGAGTCTGGCCTTGGGGCAGAGTGCATGGGCATGTCATTTATCGCCTGTTCGAAGTCTTTTGGCGTCAGGATAACATCAGATACGCTTGTGTTAACCAAATTATGTGGCTCTCTCATAAAAAATTCATTTTGATCTTCGACTCTCAGTCTGGTTAGCGGCTTGCTAAAAACTGAGTCATATTGGGACTTGAGTAGCTCACTCATTTCCTTGCTGTCATCTGTGTAGGACCCATCTTGTTTAAGTAGGAGCCCAATACTGGACGTTGTTCTCGACTTTGATTTGGCATAGGAGAAGAAATACTTTGGGTTTCTTTCGATTTCATTTATGGCTTTTAGTTCTTCCCGCGATTCCTGACTCCTATAAGATTCCTTTAGCTTAAGTTCGATGCTTGCTATTTCTCTGACCAGTGTCTCCCTACGCCTTTCAGATATATTGACCTCTTTTAGCCGCTCTGTTATTCTTTTCCGTCGCCTGTAAAGGGAGCGCCTGTCCCTTTCTATTTTACATCTACTCCTCCTTTTTCTTAGAGGAATAAGCCTTGTGCATACATCGAGCGCCACCGAGTTAATCTGTTCTAGGCATAAGTTGGGGTCTGTATTGCTTAGTATATCTTCCCAGCTTATATCAGTTAGGATTTGGTTTACTTGGTCCCACTTTATGTTTTTGTTATTGAAGTTGAATTTGGTGAATGCTCCCTCGTGACTAATCTCATTATGTCGGTCTGGGGCTCCGCGCATACATGTCTGAACCTCAATTGTGTTGTGATCTGAGTATATTGTTTTTGATATGGTGACATTTCGTATGAGATCATCATTGTTAGTGAAGATGAGGTCTAGTGTATTCTCCAGTCTAGTAGGCTCTATTATTTGCTGGTTTAAATTGAATTTTGTGCAGAGATTTAAAAGCTCGTGTGAGTGTGAGTTTTCATCAGAGCTGCCTCCTGGTGTTATTACTGCAACAATATTATTTGCTATATTCCTCCATTTTAGGTGCCTTAAGGTGAAATCCCCCAGGAGCAAGATGTTGGGTGCAGGAGCTGGCAGATTTTCCAGACAGTGGTCAATTTTTAACAGCTGTTCCTGGAATTGCTAGGATGTTGCATCCGGAGGCTTGTAGACTACCACAATGACTAGGTTTTGGTTCTTGGTCTTTACTGCTTAAACTTCCACTACATCATTTGAGGCATTCAGCAGTTCTGTGCACACAAGTGACTCTGCAATGTACAGGCCACCCCCCCCCCCTTTTTTTGCCTGTTCACTCTGTCGCATCTGTATAGGTTGTAACCTTGGATCCATATTTCGTTGTCCAAGTGATCTTTTATGTGGGTCTCAGTGAAAGCCGCGAACATTGCCTTTGCCTCTGCAAGCAGTCCACGGATGAAAGGTATTTTGTTGTTTGTTGCTGGCTTTAGACCCTCCACACTAAACTCTACCAGATTTTAAGATATGTTGGGGTTTTTAACCCAGAGGGTTTAGCCACCCAGGATACCTGGAGTATACCTAAAGGGTGCTCCGGGGGATCAATGCCCCCACGGAACGGTCCACGACCAGGCCTCACAGTGGATCAGGGTCTGATCAACCATGCTGTTACTGCTAGCCGCAAGTAAACCGACGTACGAACCACAGCCTGGATGATCAGGAACTGAATTCAGGTGCCTATCCAGCGCCTGCTTGAAGACAGCCAGGGGTCTATTTATAATCCCCCTTATGTATGCTGGGAGGCAGTTGAAGAGTCTTGGGCCCCTGACACTGTGTTGTCTCTTAGCGTACTCGTGGCGCCCCTGCTTTTCATTGGGGAATGTTGCACTGTCTGTCGGATCTTTTGCTTTCGTAAGGAATTATTTCCACGTGCATAGTTGGGACTAGTTCCTCTAGGATTTTCCAAGTGTATATTATCCTGTATCGTTCTCGCCTGCATTCCAAGGAGTACAGGTCAAGGGACTTCAACCATTCCCAGTAATTTAGCTGCTTTATTGTACTTCTACATACAGTCAGTGGTTCATCGAGGACTGTCTGTCTCATTCCCACTATGGCCCTATCTTAATCTTGTCCCCAGGATTCGACCAGAGTACAATATAGAAGACCCGTTGTCATGCAGAGCATTTCGGGCAAATCAGGTAAATTTTGTTCCCCGGTACAGTCCCCTGTACCTCAGTACATTTAAGAAGCTTAGTTGTGGTATGTTGGCTTAGAAATACACCTAAGGAAACACTTGGACACATTTATTACAAAACATTTTGGTCCTGGGACCTTATCACTTCTAACATACAAAGGTTAAAAAGATATTATATAGCCTCTGTATGTTAGAAGTGATCTCAGGACCTAAATGTGTTCTAATATGTCCTAGTGTTCACTCGCCTGTCTTTCTGAACCAACTTGTTGGTACATGTATCTATTACTAAGGTTTATACCGTGTAAGTAAGTATTTTAGGTACAGGTACACATAAGTACAATTATCATACATAGTGTAAATTGCCCAGGATAACCCAAAAAATGTTAAAGTGACTTATTTACATGTAAATTACATTACCTATTTACTGAAGAAAATAAATAATTGGATTATTATTATTATTATTATTATTATTATTATTATTATTATTATTATCATTATTATTATTATTATTATTATTATTATTATTATTATTATTATTATTATTATTATTATTATTATATACTTTGCTCAAAATAATGCACATGTTAAGTGGTTTTCTTATGGCTTTAACGCTTAGTTTTGATTTTAATAATAATAGTAACCATCAAAAAATTTTCGTCATAATTGTGTGATGCTTGTAACTAAATGTGGCAGATGTTGCAAGTGTATGGAAGAGGTAGTATGTTATTAAATGCTGTAAAGAGTTTTTATGAGGATAGTGAGGTAAAAGTAGGTCTTAGACAGGGATGTGTAATGTCACCATGGTTGTTTAACATATTTATAGATGGGGTTGTAAAAGAAGTAAATGCTTGGGTGTTCGGGAGAAGGGTGGGATTAAATTATGGGGAATTAAATACAAAATGTGAGTTGACACAGTTACTTTTTGCTGATGATACTGTGCTTATGGGAGATTCTAAAAAAAAATTGCAAAGGTTATTAATGGACGAGTTTGGGAGTGTGTGTAAAGGTAGAAAGTGAACATAGATAAGAGTAAGGTGATGAAGGCATCAAACTATTTAGATAAAGAAAAATTGGATATCACATTGGAGGGAGAGAGTATGGAAGAAGTGAATGTTTTCAGATATTTGGGAGTTGACGTGTCGGCGGATGGATTTATGAAGGATGAGGTTAATCATAGAATTGATGAGGGAAAAAAGATGAGTGGTGCATTGAGGTATCTGTGGAGATAAAGAACATTATCCATGGAGGCAAAGAAGGAAATGTACGAGAGTATAGTGATACCAACACTCTTATATGGGTGTGAAGCTTGGGTTGTGAATGCTGCAGCGAGGAGGCGGTTGGAGGCAGTGGAGATGTCCTATCTAAGGGCAATGTGTGGTGTAAATATTATGAAGAAAATTCATAGTTTGGAAATTAGGAGGTGTGGAGTTACTGAAAGTATTAGTCAGAGGGCTGAAGAGGGGTTGTTGAGGTAGTTTGGTCATTTAAAGAGAATGAAACAAAGTAGAATGCCTTGGAGAGCGTATAAATCTATTGGGGAAGGAAGGCGAGGTAGGGGGCGTTCCCAAAAACGTTGGAGGAAGGGGGTAAAGGAAGGTTTGTGGGCGAGGGGCCTGGACTTTCAGCAGGCGTGCGTGAGCGTGTTAGATAGGAGTGAATGGAGGCGAATGGTTTTTGGTACCCAATGAGCTGTTGGAGTGTGAGCAGGGTAATAATTAGTGAGGGGATTCAGGGAAACCGTTTAGCTGGACTTGAGTCCTGGAAATGGGAAGTACAATGCCTGCATTTTGAAAGAGGGGTTTAGGACATTGGCAGTTTCGAGGGACGTCTAAACTGTCGTATCTGAGTACCTCTGCAAAGACAGTACTCACCTAGTTGAGGTTGCAGGGGTTGATTCCAAGCTCCTGGCCCGGCCTCTTCACTGGTCACTATTAGGTCACTCTCCCTGAATCGTGTGCTTTATCATACCTCTGCTTGAAGCTATATATGGATCCTGCCTCCACTACATCGCTTCCCAAACTATTCCACTTCTGACTACTCTGTGGCTGAAGAAATACTTCCTAACATCCCTGTGATTCATCTGTGTCTTCAACTTCCAACTGCGTCCCCTTGTTGCTGTGTCCCATCTCTGGAACATCTTGTCTTTGTCCACCTTGTCAATTCCTCTCAGTATTTTGTATGTCGTTATCATGTCCCCCCTATCTCTCCTGGAACTAGTCTTGTTGCAAACCTTGGCTAGGTGTGGGTTCCAAACTGGTGCTGCATACTCCAATATGGGCCTAACGTACACGGTGTACAGGGTCCTGAACGATTCCTTATTAAGATGTCGGAATGCTGTTCTGAGGTTTGCTAGACACCCATATGCTGCAACAGTTATTTGGTTGATGTGCGCTTCATATGTGCCTGGTGTTATACTCACCCCAAGATCTTTTTCCTTGAGTGAGGTTTGTAGTCTCTGGCTGTTGTGATAGAAACACAGGCCTTATCTCTAGGCTTTATTGAACATAGAATCTTCATAGTACTTCTGCAACAACAAAATATAATGACTAGTACATCTAATAATGGCTTCTACAGGGATGGTGATGTCTTGCATATGTCAAGAGAAAAGTTATAACTACAGGCCACATATTTAAACTCACCATGTAATCTGCATCGCTGATAAATGGATAAAGTAGGAGAGAATCACACACCATGTGTTGGTGCCCATGACACACACCAAACTGTTGTTGTTGTTAAGGGCCCCTAGAGGTGGTGCAGTATTATCCTGCTGCTGCTCCCCACAGGACCAGTATCACTACAATCTCCCCCTTCTAAAATATCAGAGACAGTAATCTCCCAAACTGTTAGGGGGGGCGACGTACACGTCCCGCCCTTTGTACCCCTTGAGCCTCTTAAACCGGTTCGATATTTTCCAGCGGGGTTTGTTTTACTGTGGAGCAGAACCCTTATTTCCATGGGGTAGTCTAAAAGGGGTTTTTCCAAAGGAGGGAAAAGGGAAGGGCATTTTTTACATCTATTGGTGTATCTTGGTTTCCCAACATTTAATAGGGATTTCAATGGGGTTAAATGTCTTGTAGATACTGAAATCTCTTCACCTTTTTTTTGGGTAGCAAATGTGGGCGTAATGTGGATTAGCTTGCAGGAGCTTACCCCCTTCCCCCCCCCAAAAGGATCCGTCTTGTTATCCTCGGTGACTCTTCAGGAGAACGGGCCCGGGGTTTGACAAAACCCAAGTGGGCACGGAGGCCCCCCCGTGGGAGGAAGGGCCCGGAATGTTGGGGGAGTCTTTCATGGGGTTTTTTGCATTGGGAGCTGTGCACAGCAGTGATTAATAGAGTAAAGGAGCACGGGTTTTAGGACAGTTTCCCAGTGTTAAACAGGTAGATTGCGGGGATTTTAAGGGATTGTAACGCCTTCCATATATTTTACATTAAACCCGCCCCACTTGCCCCATTGCCCCTTGGGGGTTTGAAAGTTTTGTTTTTCCCTGCTGCGGGCAAAACCCTTTGCTACCCCAAAAACCCTGAAGTTGTTACTCATGAACGAGGATCCCCTGCCCTGAATGGATAAAGGGGGGGGATCCCAAAAAATAGAGAAAAAACTGTAAAAGACAACTAAAAAACAGTTGAAGCAGCCATATTTGCACAGGGGAATAAAAAAGGGGGAAACCCTTTGAATATTCATCAAATATTTTAAAGGGAAAATTTACCTTTTTTGATTTGTGTTTTGGAAAGAGGTCCTTTGAAATCAATTTCAATCTTTCGAAAGGCTGGGTGGATTTTATGAGAGGGAGTCTTCTCTGGCTGATGAAAGTTTGGCTTGCACTCTGCAAAATACTCTGATGCTTTTGTCCTTGTCGCCCCCATTTTTCCACTGGTAGGGCATGTTTTTTAAATTTTGACAAAATGGTACGGGGTGTAACCCTTTTGGGTGAAAAAAAGCCTTGTGGAGAGCTGAGGTGATTGAAAAATCATGACATTGTTTCCACTTTTGGGCCCTAGAAAATGCTTTCGGGGAGATGTTCTCTTGACCGGTCGGTACAGAATTTTCCAAATTTCATAACACGATAGTTCCCCCTCCAGCGTAATATTTTTTCATTTTTATCCTATTTTTGTCCCTCTTTTTCAAAACATATACATCCCGGACCGTTGGTCAGCCCTTTTGGGTTTGAAATTTTCTACCATTTTAAATAATGCCTCAGTGGGGGGAAACTGTTCTTGATGGCCTGGGCTTCCTTTTCTACACCCAGAAAACTTTTCTCTGATCTTGAAAAGTTCTCGAAAAGAAGGCAAATGGTCGTCCGGGCCTGAAGATAAGATTTGCGCAAGGGCCCAAATGTCAGATGCATCCTTTTCCCATTCCCAAAATGGTAGGGCCTATCAATGGTTTGAATTTCCCGGGGGGTTTTTCAATGCCCTGTTTGAGGTAGGGAAAAAGCGGTTCTGCTTCCTTTTGTCACAGGAAATGTGGAAGCACTCAATGGGCGGACTTTATTGAATAGTTGTAAAAATCCATTGGGGGAGTAATAAGAAAGGGACCAAGATTTTCTTCGGAGTGACTTTTTGTCTTGAGGCTTTTGGAAGCCCCCGTAGAGGTCGTAGTCGTTGGGTCTGGGAATATTAAACCCTCTTCCCTACTAACCAAGGTTTGCTAAGCCTTTTAGTTAAAAAGTGCCTTTTCCCCCATTTTTAACTGTTATTTTTCTTTTGGGGGTTTCCCAAAAAAACTTTCAATTTTTGGCTTATTTTTCCTCCTGGGTCTTGCCAAAAATGGTAACTTTAAATTAAAATTAGCATTTTTTCCCCAGAGTTGCTCTTCCTAAAGGGAGTGAACCCAAAATTCGTTGGAAGCGGGCTCCCCCTTTGGGTTTGCCCCCCCAAAAAGGGACTCTGGAAAATGATACAGGCCATCCCTAGCCGGGAAACGCTGTGTATGGTTTATCTTCTTTCCTTATAGGGACTTGATGATACCCACTCTCCCGATCAATTTTTGCTAAACACGTAGTACTGAGCAATTTTTTTCACTGTTTTCGTAATTCGAGGTTTAGAGGGTACCCTTCAAAAAGTGTAAATTTGTTATTGTCTCAGAGTAATCGATACCCAGCCCTCCTTTTTCCTATCCCATTTTTTAACAAAAAAACCCGGGTGCCCCCCCCAAGGGGGAATCACTCGGTTCTAAAATTTTAACCTTTCCTTCAGCAGCCTTTTGGTTTCTTTCTCAATGAAATCCGTCCTCATAAGAATAGCGGCGTGACTTAGTTTGATATGGATGGCAACCGCGGTAAGATTTGCAAACAGCTTTGGGGGGGTTCCCCTTTAAAAGGTGCAAGTCCAAGACAACAAGAGGAGGAAATTAAACTCCATATGTTAAGGTGCCATCCCATGCAGCTTCTGAAAGCCCTGCCAAGGAAAACATCAGACCCCACGTTGTGGCAGAATAGCAAAATGAAACATCTTGAAAATCCTTTCCATTACTCTGGGATTTACCTTACAAACCCAAAGGTTGAATAGAGAGAGAGGGTTGATCCCAGGGGGAAACGGTCCCTGATGAGTGATGTAGAGCCCAAGGGGACCCTTTTAAACAAAAGTCAAGGTTGATAAAATCTCTAAAGCTGCCACTATAAAATAAGACCATCTATTTCTTTTCCCTTTTTGAGGGAATTATTTTCACAACTGCCTTTGACATAAATTTTTGGAGTAGGGGCCGAAATTTCACTGTTGTTAGAGTCCCCTAAATCACTGGAATGTGGGAAAGGCACTAGCTCTTGTTGATGCATTAGCACAAAACAAAACTTTACCCAAAGTGCCCTTTTTTCTTGGGGTTTTTAGGGGAAACATTGTTCACGAGCGGACACTTTGACGTGGATGTTTTAAAAAAACCACAAAAGAAACAAAACCCGTCCCTGTGACTGCTTTTCATGAGGCGGGTTTCCCCCAGTAATTCATTGAAAGATTTCTTGGTCAGGAATTGCAGCCTTCCCACTCGAGAAGGGGCCTTGAGTGGTACTGTATATTTCAAAATTTCTTTGGGCTGAATCTAGAGCTCTTCCCTGGTCAAAGGCAGGGCTAAGTCGAGGGGTTTTATTCTCCAAAAAAACCCCTTGCCTTATTATTGGTGATTGCGGGCCCACTGAAAAAAGCACCCCTGAGGGACTTTTACAATACTGAGCAGCTGTCACGCTTGGAATGACAGTCCTTCCCAAAAATTTTTCAGTGCTTGAAAGTTTTCCCTCAAAGGACTCATCAACCCTGTGGGGGGCGAGTTGCAAGGGGGGAAGCGTGCAAAGTTTTCATTTGTGGGTTTAAAATACTGAGACTTGGGGGGGTTTTGATAGCATCTTCGTAGGTTTTTACACTCAGAAATAGCCTCATATATCTTAGGTGACACAAAATTGATGGCAGATTTTGTTTATCTGTTTCTTTTTTTGGAAGGGCCCCCAAAAGTTTTCGAAAGTTTTAAAACGTGCTTCCTTTCCCTGAGCAGCCTTTGATAAGGGGGGGTTTCACAGTCTAGCCTCTCAGGTTTCGGGTAAACGTTTCCATGTTGTGATGTAGTCTTTGCGCAGGTTTACCACCAGGTTTGCCCAGGATTCCCATGTTCAAAAAAATTGTTTTTGATGAAAACCCCAGGCCTTTTCTAGGCTTTATTGAAAAATAGAATCTTCATTGTACTTCTGCAACAACAAAAATAAATTTACTTACATTAAAAAATGGCTTCTACAGGGATGGTGGTTTCTTGCATTGTAAGAGAAAAAATTATAAACTACAGGCCCATATTTAAACTTTACCATGTAATCTGCATCGCGATAAATGGAAAAAAGTAGGAGAGAATTCCCCACACCCTGTGTTGGTGCCCCCCTTTACACACACCAAACTGTTTTTTGTTGTTAAGGGCCCCTAGGGGGGTGGTGCGTATTTTTCCTGTGTGCCCCCCCCACAGGACCGTATCACTACACTTGGCCCCCCCCCAGACTGGACTCCGGGCTGCGGTCTTTTTTTGCCCTTCCCCCTTTTTCATGACTTTTTCATTGGTGGGGGTTTTTAACTCCGGAGCCAATTGCTGGACCAGGTCTTTCAGCCCCCGTCCGATCCCTTTTTTAGCCGCCCGGTTCTTTGATCAAATGAATTCTTTCATCAACTTCCGTCATCTGCAAAAAAGGGACACTTCGGAGTCTATCCCCTTTTGTCATTTTCGTTCCCCAAAAACCAGAAATAGCACTGGGCCTTGGATGACCTTTTGGGACCCCCCTGGGCACAGGTGCCCACCCCTTACACCCTTTCCACGTACAATGACTCGTGCTGTTTTTCCTGGGCAAAATATTCCCGATCCATTGTAGTGCCTTCCCTGTTATCCCTGTTGGTCCTCCAGTTTTTGCAAATAATCTCTTGTGTGGGAAATTTTGTTTAAAAAAATTTTGTAGTCCAAAAATGCAATCCACCCCAAACCCCCTCTCTCTTGTCTTTCTTTCTGTCAACCCTGTATAGAATCCAGTTAAAGGGTTTTTTAAAACAGGATTTCCCTCCCTGAAACCATGTTGGGCTGCTGTTGATGGATTTCCTTTCTAGGTGTTCCCCAAATCTTTCCTGATAATTTTCCATGACTTTGCATACTTACATGTCAGTGACATGGTTTTGGGAGTTTTGTGCCCCATGTCTGTTCCTTTTTTTAAAAAATTTGGGGCTAAAATTTTCTGTCTTCCAGACCTCAGGCAATCTCTCTGTTTCGATAGATGTATTGAATATTGTTTTTTTAGGGGTACACATAGCGCCCTGCCCCCCTCTCTCAGGACCATGGGGGAGATGTTATCCGGCCCATTGCCAGTGATTATGTTTTGAGTGATGGAAAGAAAAGTGTTGAATGTTATGAAAGTTCTTTCCCTTTTTCCTTGGGGTTTTTCTTTCTTTTTGGGTCACCCTAATCGGGGGGAAACTGCGGGGGCGTATTATTAAAAAAATAATGGCAATACTAACACCAAACAGTAGTAATAATAAAAAATAATAATAAAAATAATATAATAATAATAATAATAATAAAAATAATAATAATAATAATAATATTTGTTAAAAATAATTTAAAAATAATAATAAAAATAAAAAATAATAATAAAAATAATAGCCCCGGCCTCGGTGGTGTTGGGAGCTCTGGAGGGGGTAAACAGGCGGGGGTCAAAGACTCGAAAAAAATTTCCCCCAAAATGATTGTTTTTATAAACCCAAAATGACAGCTTGAACTACCCAATTTTTTACAGCCCAGCTCGTGAAGACAGCAGCTTGGGAGTTATGCATTGAGTACGGGGGAGGAAAACAAGTTAAGGGGAGTGTATAAGGTAGCAAAAAGGTTCCCTGCTGGGACCCCCAATGTACCAGATTACATCATTGCGGAAAAAAAATTGGGGTTTTGGCAGCTTTGTGATGTGTTTAAAGCTTTTAAAAAAAGGAAGGGCAAGGGAGGTGGTGGCCCTTTTAAAAGTTTTTCTTGAAGTCTAATCTCCAAGACGGCACTTTTTAAATTTTTAAAATCGGAAATTAAAAATACTAAAAAAGGGTGAAGCATTTAGGGAAAATTGTAGAAAAAGAAAGATTTCGTTGGGACGAAAGGGTATATTTATATTTTTAATGGAGTATTGTAGGGGGTGGGGACCTGTCGAACTTTGTGAAGTCCCGGGGGGCGGCTGCCGGAAAACTGTGTTTCCAGAGGTTTTCCCCCAGCAGTGGGGTTCAGCTCTAAGTCATGAGAGGAAGAAGGGAAGGGCCCCTTTGATCTTTAAGCCTTTAAACCCTTCTATTAAAATCTAGAAGTCATCCTATTCTTTAAAATCGCAGAAATTTTTGGGCTTGCTCAAACCCCATGCCGGAAGATGACACCCAAAGGGAATCAAGGGGGAAATCCGCTTACATGGGTCCCAGAGATAATTTGAAGGCCAGAATTTTGGGCCAAAGGGGATTTTCTGGTCAGGGTGGGAGTATCCTTTTTGGAAAAGCCTCTTTTGGGGAAAACTCCAAAATTCTTCTAAAACAATGGATGAAATTTAAAAGAAAAAATTTAAAAAAAAGGGCAAAACCATCGATGTGCCCTTTTGGAAAAAAAACATCTTCCCGAGTGCCGAGATTTATTACAGAGTTGCTTTGAACGGTGTGAGCAAGAGGGAATTTATTTTGAAAAAATTTTTTTTTCCCTTTTGTGGACCTTGGCACAAACCCGGTCCAGCGAGTATGAGAAGGCAAAACCCAAATTTTTCCTCGGCAGTCAATTTTGATGAATGTCAGGAGTATGAGCAGGCTTTCAGGTAATTTTATATGATCTTTATCAATAAATTTAATTGCTGTATATAATTATACTGTACCTTACTACAGTACTTGTATTTGAAATACTGTATGAGCACTAGCCTTGAAATTTTTGGAAAAGCCACTTGCCTCAACTCAGTTACTTTTCAGAAAATTTTGCCAGTGATACAGTAATGTATATACAGTATTTATATACATTTGGGTGGTATAACTAAACCAGAAATACAGTACTTTTATATTGGTATTGTGTTTTATTAATTATATGTTGTATTAGGTACTGCTGTCTTGGCTTCAGATTTCTTTTTTGCATTCTGTATTTTAAAAAATTTTATGAAAATTTACCATATATGCTGGTGTATAAGTCAGCCTTTTAAAACCCAAGGGATAAAATTTGCTGATACATGGCAAGAGGTTTAAAAAAAGGCCCCCAGCCTTACCCAAAAGGGAAAGGGAAATGGCACCACTACCCTACTGATGCTATATGCTTTGTACTGTACCATAACTTTTTACCACAGTTGCAAGTTTTTTTGTTTTCTGCCCTTTCCTATTTTTTTTTTTGTTTCCAGAATCTGGGTTGTAATAAAAAAAAAGCACATTCAAAAAATACCCAAAATGCCAGGAAAAAAATTGAAACAAAGCTAGAGAAAATAAAAACACTTTTTTTCCCAAAAATTCCCGCCCAAAAGTCCATGTCAGTCCCCTCAAACCCCCTTAACTTGAAAGGGCTGATAGGAAGTGGTATGACCCAAAACTGGGAAATTTAAAACCTAAAAAAATTTTGGGTTTACTTATACACCCCGGCCAACTTGTACATGGCGTATTTGGTTGTTAGAAGTGCTAAAGTTTTTTCCTTCCCCAGAAAATAGTAATGTAACTTTTTTTTTAAACTAAATTTTTTGAGGACAAGTGTAATCTTAGTTTTAATTACAATATTTTTTTTTTATTTATGCATAGTGCAAGAATTTACTTACAGCTTTTAGGTTCTTTTCATAGGCCAAATTTTTTTTTGGGGGGAAATTTTTAAATTTCATATTTTGCTTACAAAGATTAGTCTATGCATTTAAAAAAAATTTTCGAGTTTTATTTTTTTCATGAGGTACAGGTACCCAAATCAAGGGAAAAGAAAATTTTCAGGTAGCACTGGGAGTTTAGGGTCATGAAGGTGTGGGGTGAACTGTGGAATATATGATGACTTAAAAGTTTTGTAAGATTATATAATCAAGCCAGGTTGTTTTATGCAAAAGAAGTCATTATTGTAGGAGTTTTTGTAATCATTGCCTTATAAGTGAAGGTTATGCCACAATTTAATTAATGATGCACATTATCTTCAGGCACTATTGTGAAGCACTCCAGTACCTTGTTCCACTCCTCCACGTAGAAGGCAATGCAAGCAAACGCTCTGCTTTACGACGAAAGATTGCAGAGTACATGAATCGAACAGAAGATCTCAAGAAAATCATAAATAATGAGAGTGATGCCATTAAAAATATGAAAATTCCTAAAATTCAGAGTGAAGAATCTGTTGGCAGTACAGAATACAAAGGTAATCGTGAAGAGCTTTTGAGGTTGACAGCTACAACTCCGCAGATTCGCTCTGCTATAGAAATTGCAGCTTCAGGAGAGCTGTATGCATACGAAGGAAATTATACCGTAGCTTTTGAAAAATACCAGCTAGCATTGGGGAAGTTGTTAGAACATTTGCAAAATGAACCAAAGGGACGTAGAAAAGACCTTCTTAGAGAGGAAGTTAAACGATGGATGTCACAAGCTGAGCACTTGAAAGAGGTTCTTAATAAAGATTCATCTCAAGCAAGTGTCAATGAAGAATTATTTGCTGAGAGTGATGATAAAAATTGCTCTGTTCAGTGACAAAATGTACTTCTTGGAGCTGAAGTTATAATGTAATATTTAAAAAAAAAAAATACTGTTTCCATAATTTTCCACGAGTTCCATAAAAATGCTGTACTTTCCAAATATTAAGTATTGTATATAGAACAAATTGATTGTTAAAAAATTTTAATTTTAAAAAAACTTGCACAGTTGTAAACCGTGCTTACTCTTTAAGAGAGTCATCTTGTTGACTGAGTGTTATCAGATATTGCATTGAAGGATAATTAGGAGATTTTTATCAGTTTGATTGCTACCTATATATTAAAAAATGATGTTCTCTCAGGAAAATATGTCCATTATGCAGTGGTGTGCAAATTACTTTGTTCATAAGGTATAATAAGGTACAGTGCCATATTTGTTTTATGACCGTGTGTTGTACTGCATATATTGATGCTGTGTTTTATAACATTACACTTTAAATATTTTTAATAAATTTCATTGGATTACATTGTTATAATTTAATTAAACAAAGCACAGGGTATATACACAGAAAAGTGTATATCTCTCAGTGTATATACACTGAGAGATTACCTTACTGTACTGTAATCTCTGTATATAAGAATTAAAGCAATCATTATACTGTAGTGTACTGTACACATGATTTGTGGCCTTAAGCATCCATGTGCAACAGATTGGGTTTAACCCTAACAAGCAAACTTTATTGTAAGGATTAAATGTTACTGAATCAAAGTAATGGCAAGCAGTAACACACAGTTTTGTTATTATTACAGTACATTACATGGAAACTCATCCGATTTTCCGGCAACGATAGCATGAATTATTGGGAGAAGGAGGGGAAGATTTCGTTTGGTCAAATTTAATTTGTAATTCCAGTAATATTTTGATAAAAAGAAATTATGTTGAGAGTTAGATTAATATAGTAGTTGCTGATTCACTAAAACACCCAGCAACTACAGTGTGAATTATCATGGGGAAGAGAGATTTGGTTTGGTCAGATTTAATTTGTAATTCAAGTAATATTTCGCTAAATTTTTTTTTTTACGCTGCCCATCTATAACCCTGCCTCCATGGAAGATGGCCAGTGTGTTAAAAAAAAATTATGTTTAGATTTTGATCAATATTAGTAGTTGTCAGTTCACTAAAACACTCAGCAACTACAGTGTGAATCATCAGGGCAGAGGGGATGATTTGGTTTAGTCAGATTTAATTTGCAATTCCAGTAATATTTTGATAAAAAAAATATCTTTAGATTTAGATTAATATAGTAGTTGTCAGTTCATTAAAAAAAATCCTCTTTAAAGCAAATCACAGAACTGGTGGGGCTTGAACCTCTGGCAGGCACATCCTAAAACTTGCAAGCCCCATGTGTTCTATGATTTACAAATAACCCGCACATAAAAGAGAGAAGCTTACGACGACGTTTCGGTCCGACTTGGACCATTTACAAAGTCACTTTGTAAATGGTCCAAGTCGGACCTAAACGCCGTCGTAAGCTTCTCTCTTTCATGTGCAGGTTATTTGTGTATCGTTCCAGTCACAGTATTGTGCCTTTTTTTGTTATTCTATGATTTATTTGTAATCATTACAGTTTTCTGGTTCAGATCCTTCATATTTTGAAATTTTTTTATAAGAGTTTTCAATGGTTTTGCACATTTGAAATTCTTAATGCAAAAAACACACAAATGCACCATGTATCTCCTGCCACTAATATCATAACTAGGTTTTACAAATAATGCTTTGGATCATTCTTTAGGAAGAAATAATGTACGTCCTATATATGCAAAACTAGTCTGTAGAATTGTATGGAAAATCAATTTGAAAACCTATTAATACTATAATTATTATTATTATTATTATAATCTTGTATTACTGTTCATGAGAAAGATGGCTTTAATGTTACTTACACAAACCTCTTAATATTTTCAACCCCCTAGCTATGTAAAACCCTGTACAACATTTCTGTAGCTCTATTTCTGCCTAAAATGTTATTCGTATTACATAATTACTGTTCTTTATTATTTTTATTAATTTCCTATTATGCTTAGTATAATTTGTACATAATCTATAACTATATAGTCTTGTAAACAAATTTATACCTATGAAACATTGTACGTACCAAGTTTTCTGTATCTGACAGGGTTTAAGTCCCGGTGTAACCGGTTAAAATGTTTCAGTGTAATAATGCAGATATTGTTTCAAAAGTATGACTGTATGATATATATATTGTACAGTATAATAAAGTTAATCATGTATGCTACTGGCACGGTACATGAGTTTCTTGTATCTGAACTTGTACTGGAGATAATGCTACTTGTGGGTAGAGAAGGTTTTATGTGCAAGGGGCTTGGACTTCCAGCAAGCATGCATGAGTTAAATAGGAGCGAGTGGAGGCAAATGGTTTTTATGACTTGATGTGCTGTTGGAGCGTGAGCAAAGTAACATTTATGAAGGGATTTCGGGAAACTGGTTAGCCGGACTCGAGTCCTGGAGGTGTATAGTGCCTGCTCTCTGAAGGAGTGTTGGAGATATGTTGCAGTTATTTTAACTGTAGTGTCAGCACGCCTCTGGCTAGACAGTGATGGAGTGGGTGATGATGAAAGTGCTTCATTTGCAGGTCACCCTGCCTCTGTGGGAAATGGTTGATATGTTAATAAAAAAAAATCTAATATTGTTGATATTTTTGTTTAAGAAGATTGGCTATGGTATGTTGAATTAAATTTAGACGATATGAAGATATGTACGTATTATGTTTAAACCCCTTAAAGTTGGTTTATAGATGAAAATACAGGGTTTGATACAATGGTTTTTCCCCACGTCAGTCCAGACAAAAATGTGAAAGAAGGATGTGTACTTTTCACTACATTGTTCTTAATAGCCATCAAGGGACTCGCCTCAGTTCTTCTTGGGATTTGGTCTTTATAGTACACATGTATATGGAAGATTTTACCATTGCTTATATCTCATGGAGAGACATTCTGTTCCACTTTGTGAGAATTGTCTAGTTCCTGTTTTAATTTCTCATATTCTGTTGGACTGTCCTGTCTATCAACAAGCACACAGAATTTTCCTTCAGCGTCGTCACCACTCTAACGCCCTTACTTTATTTTCCCTCCTTGCCGACAGACATGCCTTTGACACAGACTCCCTCTTCCGATTTTATGACAGCAACTGATTTATTACACAAACTTTGATAATCCTTCCTTTAGCACTCCTCACAGCCCCTCCTAACTTTACCTATACAGATTGTCACCTCAACCCTTATTTATCCTTAGATCCTGCATCAGTTCCTACCCTGCAGTGCTGTATGACCCTGGTAGGTTTAGTGCTTTCTTTTGATTATAATAATAATAATAATTACCATTGCACATACTGATATAGACATCTAGTGGCTGCCTATGTTAATCCATTATTGATTGCATGTCAGTTGGGCTTCCTCACACAGCTTCAAGTTTTTTGTATCCAAAGCAAGTTTGATCAACTTTTATGCAGCACCTTATTATTTGAGTGTTGATCTACAAGCCTTTTGAGGCTGTAAAGTAAAAGGTAGTAAGCTTCTTCAGTACTGAGCTAAAGCTTCTGGGCTTCTTAGGCTCCTGATCTCTTGGGAAGGATCAGTTATAGCTGCTAGGTCTCTCGAGGGAGTTGAGTTGCAGCTGCTCTGCTTCTTTAAGCTTTTGACATACAGCTAATAGGCTTTTTTTCAGGCACTGATTATTATTATAATCAAAAAGAAGCGCTAAGCCACAAGGGCTATACAGCGCTGCTTTCAGGCACTGAAATACAGGACTGGGGCTGTTATACAGGGGATGCCCCTCTCAGATTGAGCAACACCTGAAATGTCTAAAGTTTCAGTGCTGTGACCCCAACAAGTTAATGGTTTTTATGAATCCAGCAAGACTAGGAAAGGATGAATGTGTGTGCATACTTTAACCCATCCAGTTACTGACAAGACCTAACAATGGTGTGTGGTGTGGGAGTTTGTAAAAAAAAAAATTTGTGACCCAAATTCTCATTGCTCTCTCTCTCTCATTAGAATGGTAGTAGTAAAAAGTTCCTGTTTATTACTAGTATGCACTGCAAGGGAGATGCCTTGATGTTTGCTAAGCTGCTCTTGATCCAAGGTATTGGAAATTACTATTCCCTTCTTCAGATCACGTCTGTCACTGTATGACCTTTTGGGTATAGCGATTCCTCAATGAATATTGTGTTGGAAATGTGCATCCACTGTTACAAAAGTACAAGGAATAAAAGAAACAAAATTTGCTCGTTTTTTAATATTTTACTCCATATGTATTTTCTGTGTTAGACTGAGTTAAACTCTAGTTCTTGGCCCTCTTAAGGGTGTTGATCAGCTTCAGGGCCTTTCTGAGAGAGTTAAGAGTTCCTTGCTGAACATGAGATGAAATAAAATTTTGTTAGATTTTTAACCTGGGCAGGATTACGTACCCAGGATAACCCAATACAGTTAATGTGTCATCAAGGACTATTTCCATTGTCGTCCTTCAATCTTGTCCCTCAGGATTGTTTCCCAGGATGCATTCCATACCAATTGACTAACACTCAGGTACCTACTTACTGCTAGGTGAATAGGGGCAATAGGTGTAAGGAAATATGCTTGTTTCCACCTATGCTGGGGATCGATCCCGGACCCCCTCAATGTATGAGCTGAGGATGCTATCACTAATATTGTAAATTATTTACTATTATTCATGTTATGTGCATGAAAGCTAAGCCTTGAATTAATTTTTATTATGTTTATGGGTAATTTTTACATTACATAATACAATTGTAGCCATCTATTATTTTATTTATTAACACATCGGCCGATTCCCACCAAGGCAGGGTGGCCCGAAAAAGAAAAACTTTCATCATCATTCACTCCATCACTGTCTTGCCAGAGGGGTGCTTTACACTACAGTTTATAAAACTGCAACATTAATACCCCTTCTTCAGAGTGCAAACACTGTACTTCCCATCTCCAGGACTCAAGTCTGGCCTGCCGGTTTCCCTGAATCCCTCATAAATGTTACTTTGCTCACACTCCAACAGCACGTCAGGTATTAAAAACCATTTGTCTCCATTCACTCCTATCAAATATGCTCACGCGTGCTTGCTGGAAGTCCAAGCCCCTCGCACACAAAACCGCCTTTACCCCCCTCCCTCCAACATTTCCTAGGCTGACCCCTACCTTGCCTTCCATCCACTACAGATTTATACACTCTTGAAGTCATTCTGTTTCGTTCCATTCTCTCTACATGTCCTGAACAACCCTTCCTCAGCCCTCTGGGCAACAGTTTTGGCAATCCCGCACCTCCTCCTAACTTCCAAACTACGAATTCTCTGCATTATATTCACACCACACATTGCCCTCAGACATGACATCTCCACTGCCTCCAACCTTCTCCTTGCTGCAGCATTCATCACCCATGTTTCACACCCATATAAGAGCGTTGCTAAAACTATACTCTCATACATTCCCCTCCTTGCTTCCAAGGACAAAGTTCTTTGTCTTCACAGACTCCTAAGTGCACCGCTCACCCTTTTCACCTCATCAGTTCTATGATTCACCTCATCTTTCGTAGATCCATCTGCTGACACGTCCATTCCCAAATATCTGAATACGTTCACCTCCTCCATACTCTCTCCCTCCAATCTTTTGTCACCTAATCTTTTTGTTATCCTCATAAGCTTACTCTTTCCTATATTCACTTTTAATTTTCTTCTTTTACATTTTTTTTTTTTTGTTCAACAAGTCGGCTATCTCCCACCGAGGTAGGGTGACCCAAACAGAAAGAAAATCCCCAAAAAGAAAATACTTTCATCATCATTCAACACTTTCACCTCACTCACACATAATCACTGTTTTTGCAGAGGTGCTCAGAACACAACAGTTTAGAAGCATATACGTATAAAGATACACAACATATCCCTCCAAACTGCTAATATCCCAAAACCCCTCCTTTAGAGTGCAGGCATTGTACTTCCCATTTCCAGGACTCAAGTCCGGCTATATAAAAATAACCAGTTTCCCTGAATCCCTTCACTAAATATTACCCTGCTCACACTCCAACAGATCATCAGGTCCCAAATACCATTCGCCTCCATTCACTCCTATCGAACACGCTCATGCACGCCTGCTGGAAGTCCAAGACCCTTGCCCACAAAACCTCCCTTACCCCTTCCTTCCAACCTTTTCGAAGACGACCCCTACCCCGCCTTCCTTCTCCTACAGATTTAAATGCTCTCCATGTCATTCTACTTTGATCCATTCTCTCTAAATGACCAAACCACCTCAACAGCCCCTCTTCAGCCCTCTGACTAATACTTTTATTAACTCCACACCTTCTCCTAATTTCCACACTCCGAATTTTCTGCATAATATTTACATCACACATTGCCTTTAGACAGGACATCTCTACTGCCTCCAACCGCCTCCTCGTTGCTGCATTCACAACCCAAGCTTCACACCCATATAAGAGTGTTGGTACTACTATACTTTCATACATTCCCTTCTTTGCCTCCATAGATAACGTTTTTTGACTCCACATATACCTCAACGCACCACTCACCTTTTTTCCTTCATCAATTCTATGATTAACCTCATCCTTCATAAATCCATCCGCCGACACATCAACTCCCAAGTATCTGAAAACATTCACTTCTTCCATACTCCTCCCCCCCAATTTGATATCCAATTTTTCTTTATCTAAATCATTTGATACCCTCATCACCTTACTCTTTTCTATGTTCACTTTCAACTTTCTACCTTTACACACACTCCCAAACTCATCCACTAACCTTTGCAATTTTTCTTTAGAATCTCCCATAAGCACAGTATCATCAGCAAAAAGTAACTGTGTCAATTCCCATTTTGTATTTGATTCCCCATAATTTAATCCAACCCCTCTCCCGAACACCCTAGCATTTACTTCTTTTACAACCCCATCTATAAATATATTAAACAACCATGGTGACATTACACATCCCTGTCTAAGACCTACTTTTACTGGGAAGTAGTCTCCCTCTCTTCTACACACCCTAACCTGAGCCTCACTATCCTCATAAAAAACTCTTTACAGCATTTAGTAACTTACCACCTATTCCATATACTTGCAACATCTGCCACATTGCTCCCCTATCCACTCAATCATATGCCTTTTCTAAATCCATAAATGCAATAAAAACTTCCCTACCTTTATCTAAATACTGTTCACATATATGCTTCAATGTAAACACTTGATCTACACATCCCCTACCCACTCTGAAACCTCCTTGCTCATCTGCAATCCTACATTCTGTCTTACCTCTAATTCTTTCAATAATAACCCTACCATACGCTTTTCCTGGTATACTCAATAAACTTATTCCTCTATAATTTTTACAATCGCTTTTGTCCCCCTTCCCTTTATATAAAGGGACTATACATGCTCTCTGCCAATCCCTAGGTACCTTCCCCTCTTTCATACATTTATTAAACAAAAGTACCAACCACTCCAACACTATATCCTCCCCTGCTTTTAACATTTGTCATGATCCCATCAGTTCCAGCTGCTTTACCCCCTTTCATTCTACGTAATGCCTCACGTACCTCCCCCACACATTCTGCTCTTCTTCACTCCTAAAAGATGGTATACCTCCCTGGCCAGTGCATGAAATTACCACCTCCCTTTCTTCCTCAACATTTAAAAGTTCCTCAAAATAGTCTCGCTATCTACGTAATACCTCCCTCTCCCCATCTACTAACTCCCCTACTCTGTTTTTAACTGACAAATCCATATGTTCCCTAGGCTTTCTTAACTTGTTTAACTCCAAAATTTTTTCTTATTTTCATTAAAATTTCTTGACAGTGCCTCTCCCACTCTATCATCTGCTCTCCTTTTGCACTCTCTCACCACTCTCTTTACCTTTCTTTTACTCTCCATATATTCTGCTCTTCTTATAACACTTCTGCTTTGTAAAAACCTCTCATAAGCTACCTTTTTCTCTTTTATCACACCCTTTACTTCATCATTCCACCAATCACTCCTCTTTCCTCCTGCCCCCACCCTCCTATAACCACAAACTTCTGCCCCACATTCTAATACTGCATTTTTAAAACTATTCCAACCCTCTTCAACCCCCCCACTACTCATCTTTGCACTAGCCCACCTTTCTGCCAATAGTCGCTTATATCTCACCCGAACTTCCTCCTCCCTTATTTATACACTTTCACCTCTCTCTTACTTGTTGTTGCCACCTTCCTCTTTTTCCCATCTACCTCTTACTCTAACTGTAGCTACAACTAAATAATGATCCGATATATCAGTTGCCCCTCTATAAACATGTACATCCTGGAGCCTACCCATCAACCTTTTATCCACCAATACATAATCTAATAAACTACTTTCATTATGTGCTACTTCATACCTTGTATATTTATTTATCCTCTTTTTCATAAAATATGTATTACTTATTACCAAATCTCTTTCTACACATAGCTCAATTAAAGGCTCCCCATTTACATTTACCCCTGGCACCCCAAATTTACCTACTACTCCCTCCATAACATTTTTACCCACTTTAGCATTGAAATCCCCAGCCACCATTACACTCACACTTGATTCAAAACTCCCCACGCATTCACTCAACATTTCCCAGAATCTCTCTCTCTCCTCTACACTTCTCTCTTCTCCAGGTGCATACACGCTTATTATAACCCACTTTTCACATCCAATCTTTATTTTACTCCACATAATCCTTGAATTAATACATTTATAGTCCCTCTTTTCCTGCCATAGCTTATCCTTCAACATTATTGCTACTCCTTCTTTAGCTCTAACTCTATTTGAAACCCCTGACCTAATCCCATTTATTCCTCTCCACTGAAACTCTCCCACCCCCTTCAGCTTTGTTTCACTTAAAGCCAGGACATCCAGTTTCTTCTCATTCGTAACATCCACAATCATCTCTTTCTTATCATCTGCACAACATCCACGCACATTCAGACTTCCCACTTTGACAATTTTCTTCTTATTCTTTTTAGTAATCTTTACAGGAAAAGGGGTTACTAGCCCATTGTTCCCGGCATTTTAGTTGACTTTTACAACACGCATGGCTTACGGAGGAAAGATTCTTATTCCACTTCCCCATGGATATAAAAGGAAAAGTAATAAGACCAAGAACTATTAAGATAAAATCAAAGAAAACTCAGATGAGTGTGTATAAATAAATGTGTACATGTATGTGTAGTGTGACCTAAGTGTAAGTAGAAGTAGCAAGACATACCTGTAATCTTGCATATTTATGAGACAGACTAAAGACATCAGCAATCCTACCATCATGTATAAATTGTACTACCTCATATTAACCCTTAAACTGTCCAAATGTAGATTTGCGTATGCAGCGCTAGCACTCCGAACATAGATCTATGATTTTTTTTACATTTGAAAGCACGTAAAATAAAACGTAGATCTACGTTTGGAGCACTAAAAGTGCAAACCTAGATCTATGTTTAGGCAGTTGAAGGGTTAATAATAGAGTAAAATGTTGAATATTTGTAATCTACTACTCTTTACCTGTCTAGACTTAAATAGTCTTGAAGTATTAAGTCTGCCTGAAATGACTCGGCATAATAGTGGCTTTCTTTGTACCACTCAAATTATGAAATGTAAACATGCATTGTAACTTTTACAAAGAAATAAAATTTTTATTTTTAGTTTTTATTTTGAAGTGTGAGCTAGAGGCACTATCATTCAACCACATGCCATTGCATTAATACCTATTAGCCAATATCTGAATAATTCCAGCAAGGCTGAAGCTTTCTCATGTTAACATTTTGCACAGGCTATTATATTTATGGGAAAGTGGTAAACACAGCAGTCATACAGTACAGCATATGGAGAAAGAGAGATTATTATTTTCATGGGAGAAGAACTAAACCCATAGGGATCATATAGTGTCTCCGGGAATGGAAAGCATTCAGGCTTGGTTCAAGGATTTGGAACATTGATCCTGGGAAATGGGAAGGCAGGCATGTTTGATCCAATAAAATGGAAGGCAGCTCTAATTACCCAGACATCAAGGCAACTCTTGAAAGGTCTGACCAGGCTATGGCTTCTAGCACAGCTGCAGTTTAAAATGTTTGCAGAAGAATTTTTCCCAGAACTGACCCACAGATGGCTAAAACAAAAACAAAAAAAAAAAAAGGTGGAACTGCTAAACCCATAGGGGTCATTACAGGACAGGGAACTGGCAAATAATTTGATTCAATCCAAAGGAGGGTAGCTCCAATTCTTTGGATCAAGAGACTTTTCTCAGGGCATCTCTTGAATTTTATTTTAATCAGGGGAAAGCACTAAACCTCAAGAGGTCATGTAGTTCCTGGGGAATGGAAAGCATTTAGGTTCAAACCAAGGAAGAAAAAGTCCAGTTCCTTGGATCAAGAGCCCCTCACTAATATCAAGATGTTAGATGGACAGAGAATAAAAAAAAAAAAACATGCTTACACATTTCCCTGGCACTTAGGTCGAATGTGGAACCTTTTTGTTGTGAGCTGAAGTCTCAATCTCCTCCAATTTACTCGGTATATCAATGTCACCCTGCCTCGGTGGGAGACGGCCGACTTGTTAAAAAAAAAAAAAAAAAATCAATGTAATGATGATGATGATGTCTATGAAACAGTAATTGGTGGATTATCATTATTTCATGAAGATCTATGAATACAATATAGTATTAACCCTTTGAGGGTTTTCGTCGTACTAGTACGTCTTACGCGTAGGGGTTTTTGACGTACTAGTACGCATAAATTCTAGCGGCCTCAAATCTAGTGGGAGAAAGCTGGTAGGCCTTCATATGAAAGAATGGGTCTATGTGGTCAGTGTGCACAGTCTAAAAAAAATCCTGCAGCACACAGTGCATAATGAGAAAAAAAAAACTTTGACCATTTTTTTGGAATAAATCAGCGACTTTGCAGTGTATTTTCGTATGGTATTTATTGTTGTATTCTAGTTTTCTTGGTCTCATTTTATAGAATGGAAGACATATTACAGAAATTGAGATGATTTTGGCTGGTTTTACAATGAAAGGTGCCTTGAAATTGAGCTCAAAGTAGCAGAAATGTTCGATTTTTACCAAACTTCAAAAGTAAACAAATCGTGCCAAGCGTGCAATACACGTCAACTGGTGAGTCTAATATTCTTTCACAAGTGCACCAATAATATTTATACCATTTTTTACACTAATGCAGTAGTCTGCATAACAGTAAATCTTATATTTTTTGTGAAAATAAAAATTCAAAATGGAAAGCAAAGAATATAAGAGGGGCCTTGAGACGTGACTAATGACTAGAGGAAATGTCATTTTAGTGCCAGGAATGTCTTTCTTGTTTATTCTGGACCCTATTCGGAAATTGGCATCTTTTGAAATTTGTGTGAAATTGGCAAAATTGCTAAATTCTGACCACTGTACTGGATAGTTGAATTTCATATTATTATTATTATTATTACAATCAAGGGGGAAGCGCTAAACCCGGAGGATTATACAGCGCCTGGGGGGGGGGGATGTGGAAGGCATTCAGGCTTAATTTGGGGAACTGGAGCACAGATCCAATTCCCTAAATCAAGAGCCCCTCACCAACATCAAGGAACCTTCCTTGAGGGGGTTGAATTTCATAAATGGGTGGTTTCTTGCACCCATTCGATAGAAATAATGGAGCTCTAGCGAAATATTCATGTCTTTTGTCGACTAGTACAGCGAAATTGGCCGAAAATGGGGCTCAAAGTGGGCAAAATCGCCGATGCGTAAACATCGCCGAGACCGCTAACTTTGCGAGAGCATAATTTCGTAAGTTTTCTATCAAATTTCAAACTTTTGGTGTCTTTATGATCGGGAAAAGATTCTCTATCTTTTCATAAGAGAAAATAATTTTTTTTTTTTTTTTTTTTTTTTTTTTTTTTTTTTTTTTTTTTTTTTTTTTTTTTTTTTTTTTTTTTTAAATTTGGCCGACCCTGAGAACGAGTTTCGGAGAGGGCCTGTCGACCCTCAAAGGGTTAATATATTCATTGGGAAGCACTAACCATACAAGTCACACTACAATGCCTGGGGAATGTAAGGTAACCAGGTTTGATCCAAGGAAGGAGTGGGTACTGCCCAAATCCTTGGATCATACACTCTTTACCAGGATCAAGAAGCCTTTTATCTCCCTCCTGCCTCCTCCCTCCCCTGAAGGGTCTCAGAATACAGCAAGATTACATTCTATATAAAAGCTTTTGACAACAGAGGCCCCCCAGACTCAGTGCCTGATGACGAATGATATTAAGTTTAGAAAGAGCTGTATAAACTAAGAAAAGTCAGGTTTATTATTCTTTCTTTCAACACATCGGCCGTATCCCACCAAGGCAGGGTGGCCCAAAAGGAAAAACGAAAGTTTCTCCTTTTACATTTAGTAATATATACAGGAGAAGGGGTTACTAGCCCCTTGCCCCTGGCATTTTAGTTGCCTCTTACAACACGCATGGCTTACGGAGGAAGAATTCTGTTCCACTTCCCCATGGAGGTAAGAGGAAATAAACAAGAACAAGAACTAGAAAGAAAATAGCAGAAAAACAAGAGGGGTGTGTATATATATGCTTGTACATGTTTGTGTAGTGTGACCTAAGTGTAAGTAGAAGTAGCAAGACATACCTGAAATCTTGCGTGTTTATGAGACAGACAAAAAACACCAGCAATCCTACCATCATGCAAAACAATTACAGGCTTTCGTTTTACACTCACTTGGCAGGTTTATTATTATTATAATCAAAACCAAGTGGTAAACCACCAGGGTCATACAGCACTGTAGGGTAGAGTTAGTAAGAGCAGTGAGGAGTGCTAAAGGAAATATATTCAGTGGTTGTATAATAAATCCGTTGTTGTCAAAAAATCAGAGGGAGTCTGTGTCAAACGTGGAGCCGTCAGTGAGGAGGGAAGACAAAGTAAGGGTGGTAGAGCAGTGATGACGTCAAAGGTAAATTCTGCATTCTCACTGATAGACAGAACAGTCCAATAGAATATGGCAAAACTGAAATTGGAACTTGACAATTCACACACAGTCGAACTGGGTGCCTCTTCACGAGATACCCATGAACGAGAAGTGTGCCCTATGCAAAGATGGGAAAGCGCAGATTAATAACCATGACATTGATGATAAGAAGACCAGGATCCTAAACTCAGCTTAATAGTGTAATTTGTTATGAATCAATTCACACCAATGTTCTTGCCAAAAGTCAGTTTCAAACAGGAGTAAAGTTAAATGAATACAAAGAAGGATTCACTTATTGATTTTCCAGGAAAAACATGACAAATTTTAGAAAATTAAGTCCATGAAAACCTTCAAATGAAACAAGTTACCAACACCACCTAATAGAGATTTTTTAAAACTGCCTGTAATACACATTGATTTAAATATATTTAAAGGAAAAATTAAACTGCCAAAGACATTCTTAATCATTTTTCAGAACTCTGCACATATTTCTTCCTCACTATAAAACAGTGAAGTGATTCTTAGTACAGTCTACATTATCTTTTACTGATGCTATACTGTCCATACAAAACAATCAAAAGGATTCTGCAAGAACACATTAATGTCTAAGCACATGTACATTATAACTGTTTTGATAAAAAGAACATCTTTTCAGAGTTCTGGGGGTTCCTCCACCTGGATTTCATGGCTCTAAGTCTCCCACAGAAGAAATGTTACACATAAAAGTATTGTTAGATGGGCGAGTGGAGACATTTGGGTTTTGGGCTTTAACATGCTGTAAGAGTATAAGCAAGGTAAAATTTATGATGGCATTCAGGGTAAACTGATTTGCCCTGAAGGTGGGAAGTACATAAAGAGTCTGCACTCTGAAGGATGGGTGGGGAAGTTGAAGCTCAAAATGTCATTTGAGTTATGATGTCTGTGAACTCCAGGCAAGACAGCTGTTGAATGAATGGTGAATGTGTTTCTGTGATTGCCCTACCTTAATGGGAAATGGTCAATGTGTGGTGTAAATATTATGCAGAAAACTCGGAGTGTGGAAATTAGGAGAAGGTGTGGAGTTAATAAAAGTATTAGTCAGAGGGCTGAAGAGGGGTTGTTGAGGTGGTTTGGTCATTTAGAGAGAATGGATCAAAGTAGAATGAGATGAAGCGCGTATAAATCTGAAGGGGAAGGAAGGTGGGGTAGGGGTCGTCCTCGAAAAGGTTGGAGGGAGGGGGTAAAGGAGCTTTTGTGGGCGAGGGGCTTGGACTTCCAGCAAGCATGCGTGAGCATGTTAGATAGGAGTGAATGAAGACGAATGGTATTTGGGATCTGACGAGCTGTTGGAGTGTGAGCAGGGTAATATTTAGTGAAGGGATTCAGGGAAACTGGTTATTTTATACAGCCGGACTCGAGTCCTGGAAATGGGAGGGGTTTGGGATATTGGCAGTTTGGAGGGATATGTTGTGTATCTTTATACGTATATACTTCTAAACTGTTGTATTCTGAGCACCTCTGCAAAAACAGTGATTATGTGTGAGGTGAAAGTGTTGAATGATGATGAAAGTATTTTCTTTTGGGGATTTTCTTTCCTTTTGGGTCACCCTGCCTCTTTGGGAGATGGCCGACTTGTTAAAAAAAAAAATAATAATAATGATAATAATAATAATATAATAATAATAATAATAATAATAATAATAATAATAATAATAATAATAATAATAATAATACAGTACTTCTCCATGGGGAAGTGAAACAGAATTCTTCCTCCGTAATCCATGCATGTCATAAGAGGCAACCAAAATACCAGGAGCAAGGGGCTAGTAACCCCTTCTCCTGTGTACATTACTAAAGTTAAAAAGAGAAATTTTTGTTTTTCTTTTGGGCCACCCTGCCTTGGTGGAACATGGCTGGTTTGTTGAAAGAAGAAAAATACAGTAATGTATAAATATAAACTTTGGAGGAGGGGGGGAAATATTGCAGTAGGAGAGTCATCTGACCATGATGTCAGAACTCCCAGAAATTTGTAACAAAAAATCAAATCGTGCATAAAATATCATATGTCAGTGATGATAGCCTGTATATAAATACAAGATTACTTGTATATATAATTTTACCCTTTAAAAATAACCCTGCAATTATTAATAATATTGTATACAGTTGAGTGAATTTTAACACTTCGAGTATAATGAATAGTAGTGTGCTCTTGCGCGAACCTTAAATATACTCTACTTCAAAAATACAATTACTGATGATCAATATGATTAGCAAATTACATTAGGCAATCCTGGAAAGACAATATGTTTAAAAGCATTGTCAACCAAACTTTAGTTCTAACTGAATTTCAGTATTTAAAATAAAAGAAAATTTAGATCCCTGTGATGTCACTGGATTTAATTAGACAAGTAAATCATTAAATAAATTAGCACTTGAAAATCCAGCAGGCTTGTCTGAGCATGCTAGACTGATGTGCATGGGGGAACAGTGGTTTCTAATTAATGTGCTGTTGGAGTGTGAGCAGGGTAATTTACGAAGGGATTCAGGGAAACTGATTAGCCAGACTTGAATCCTGGAGATGGAAGAGAAAGTGCCTGCACTCTGGAGGGCTGGGGATGTTGTAGTAGGAGGGTTATTTGACTGTGATGTCAGGACACTTCTGAACAGATGGCAGTTGAGTGAATGCTGGAAAAGGCATTTTCTTCTTTGTGTCACCCTGCCTTGGCAGATGGCCACCAAGTCAAAAAGAAAATATTTAAGGGATATAAACTAAAAAAATTAAACATTAAGAGCAATCAGATTTCTCCTTTTAGTTTGATTGAAAAACCTTGTGAGGTGGTAAATAGATATGCAGCCTAAATTTGCTACAATAGTATCACCAAATAATTTTGCTGTAAAAAAATAGATACAATAAATACAACCATGAAGCAAAATACAATGTAAACTGAGGTCCATTATAAGGTTAATTACAATAATCATTTACAACATACATTCTCACAATACAAAATGTAAATGTGATGCAAGTACATTTTTACCGGCGACTAGTACCCCCAAAACCTGATGCTCCACGAGTTCCTGTGGAACCACCACCACCACCACCACCACCACTATGGTGGCCACCAGAGAAACCTCCTCCACCACCTCCCCAACCCCATGAACTAGGTTGACCATAACCTCTGTTGTGGTTTCTGCCACTGTTACCAAACATGTAGCCAACTAAGCCACCAGTAGCAGCGCCAGTCCAGAAACCTCCAGCGCCACCAAACCCTCTTGCATTTCCAGCAGTGCGGTTCCTACAGGAAGCACCATCTGTGTACTCTGGAGGAGGTGGTGCTGAAGGATGTGAACCTCCAGCACCCCCAAACCATCCATAGCCACCACCACCACCACCTGATGGGTAATCATCGTTTGTGTTACTATGAGCATCCTGGCCAACATGGCGTGAAGATCCAAAACATGTTTTGTATAAAACCCAACACATCAGAGCCACAGCAACTAGCACAATAAAATCAGCAATGTAGCTTGCATTTGATGATTTCTCAGTTTTGTAGGTGGAATAAGAGTTTCCATAAGCATGATGACTGTATCCACTTTCATCACCATAATAATTGTGATGACCTTGCTTCTGATGGAGTCCCTCCTTTGTGTAGTCTATGGAGTATCTCAAACCACATGACCCCTTTAGAACAAAGGGATCGTCTCTGTTACTGTAGCCCTCACAAGAGACTTCAATTTCACCAAACCTACAGGTGAAAAAAATAAAGATGAGATATGAATGTAAAATGCAATAAGATCACAGAAAACAGGTGTAATATCATAATATGCAGAACAACTACTGGTCCAGTGGCTAACGCGACGGTCTGGAGTTTTGAGACTCTCTGATCACGAGTTCTATCCCCGCCCATGGTATGGTTTGTTTGCAATCGTGTCATTACGATTTCGTGAGTCATGTTAATGGCTTTGAGGGGACTTGAGCTAGAGTTCGTCACGGCCACGCTAGCTGGAGATTCGTCTGTAAAAACTTGCATTTGTGGTCACAGTGGTGCCTATGCTAACCTTTCTATGGTGTAGAAATATACCTAGCTGGACGAATCTTATTGTGGCTAGCTGGTCCAGTGGCTAACGTGACGGTCTGGAGTTTTGAGACTCTCTGATCGCAGGTTCTATCCCTGCCCGTGGTATGGTTTGTTTGCAATCGTGTCATTACGATTTCGTGAGTCATGTAAACTCTAGAACATTTATTCATTAATTATCTAATTTGTTCTTTCCTACCCTACAAAAAAAAAATTCTTAAAATACTGAGGAATTCCTGTGACTGCAGAGGTCTCTATCACTAGTTCCACGAACTGTACCCCTTTCTATTGGCCCTTAAAGTTATCAGACACCAATATTCCCACTTTCACTAGGAAAGACACATTTTCCCAGAAAAAATGCAATGATAAATGTAGGAAAAGAAGGTTAAAGATACTACATGAATACAACACAGTGAAGATATATCTGCGTGAGCAGTGTGGAAAATGTACTCAGAGGGGAAGGGGAGCACAGGACCCACTGTGGCATCAAAAACACTTTTCCTTTGATAGTCATGTATTTTATTACTGTGAAAAATATGTATAGCTGAAAGATGCCTAGTGCATGCCAAACAGACCACTTGAAGTATACTGCACTCACTCCAAGGAAAAATCAAATTTTGCTATGCAAATTCTTAAATAGGTGAAGTTAGTTTATTTTATTTAAAAAAAATTAGCAAGACTAGGTTCAGTGTTTAGCTAGAGCTGATGCCATATATAAATAAGTGGTTCAAGAAAAACTTGCAAAACAAAATTTGACTTTTTTTCATGGGATGCATATTCTTCGGGTGATCCTACTAAACCTTTACTGTACATTTCATTTCACTCTGAATACAGCATTATATAATCATTTGTTAAAGCTTTACTTGAAGAAAAATGGTGCTCTGCAGCATATGAGTCTTTCTACTATGATTGTTGGCATTAGCTGCTCTCCAACACATCAAAAATATGTTATAATTATGAAATTTTCTTTAATTACTGGTATATTACATTTTACTGCTAATGATTAAAGGTAATTTTTATTAAATGATATTTCTAGTGCAATGTTTTGAGACTAGTGACTTAGTCACTGATTACATTATCAATGAAACAATTACTGTATGTGCTGATGGATATTACAGACTACTCAGCAACTCTACAATTTGAGTATAGTCAGCCCCCCCCCCCAAGAAAGTTGGGCAAGAGTTTTAAGAGGGTTCAAAGAGCTATGTATCACAGTGGTTCCAATTAGACCATTACTCACCTAAATGCATTATCCATGTCAGTCTTGCACTCCCACTGTACATCAACTCCATCCCATCCCCGATTGTAGCACTGCACTACCCGGGGAATGAAGGCATCACATGGCGCTGTTCCCCCTTTAACACACTGCAGTTGTGGTACCGGTGATGACCGTCTTCCTGAATTAAAACAAACATTTACACATGTTATGCTATCATCAATTTGTATACTACTTTTAAAATCTGGACTAAAATTTATTTATGAAGCAATCAAAACCAGAAGTAATCCATACAATAACTTACAGTGCTCAGTGAGATATAGTATACTGACTGATAATGTACACACTAAACATAGATACAGTAAACTCTCCATTTAACAAACCTCAATTTAATGAACTTTGGAAATGCAGAATAAAATTTGCCAAGTCAACAGATTTGGAAATAATGGACATAGCCCTGGTGGCTAAAGCTCCCGCTTCACACACGGAGGGCCCAGGTTCGATTCCCGGCGGGTGGACAAACATTTCGACACGTTTCCTTACACCTATTGTCTTGTTCACCTAGCAGCAAATAGGTACCTGGGTGTTAGTCGACTGGTGTGGGTCGCATCCTGGGGGACAAGACTGAGGACCCCAATGGAAATAAGTTAGACAGTCCTCGATGATGCACTGACTTTCTTGGGTTATCCTGGTTGGCTAACCCTTCGGGGTTAAAAATCCAGACGAAATCTTATCTTATCACAGAAATGTGATAATCTTTTCTCTATCTACCAAAATTGCCAATACTGGTGACCAGCTTCCCCAGTTAGCCCATTAAATACAGTGGACCCCCGCATAACGCTATTAATCCGTTCCTGAGAGCTCAATGTTATGTGAAACTATCATTATGAGAATTAATTTTCCCCGTAAGAAATAATGGAAATCAAATTAATCCGTGCAAGACACCCAAAAGTATGAAAAAAACAAATTTTACCACATGAAATATTAATTTTAATACACACAAACTTAAGAAAACATGCACAGTTACATGACACTTACCTTTATTGAAGATGTGGTGATGATTGATGGGATGGGAGGAGGGGAGACTTGATGGTTTTAGTGTTTAGAAGGGGAATCCCCTTCCATTAGGACTTGAGGTGTCAAGTCCTTTTCTGGGGTTGCTTCCCTTCTTCTTTTAATGCCACTAGGACCAGCTTCAGAGTCACTGGACTTCTGTCGCACAACATATCTGTCCATAGTGGCCTGTACCTCTCGTTCCTTTATGACTTTCCTAAAGTGTTTCACAACAGTGTCAGTGTAATAGTCACCAGCATGGCTTGCATAGCTGTCTGAGGGTGATTTTCATCCATGAAGGTTTGCACTTCAGCCACTTTGCACAGATTCCTTAATCTTTGAAGTAGGCAACTTCTTCAATTTCTCTCTCCCCTCCTCCGAAGCAATTTCCTCAGTGTGGCCTCTTACTATTGAAGTTGATCTAGCAGCTCATCAGTGGTTAGTTCTTCATTGTCCTCCTCCACCAACTTTTCCACATCCTCCCCACTAACCTCCAACCCCAAGGACTTCCCCAATGCCACAATTGATTCCTCAACTGGCATAGATTCTCAGGGTTAGCCTCAAATCCTTCAGAATCCCTTTGGTCCTACACATTCTGGCCACAGTTTCTTCCAAGCAGAGTTCAAGGTCCTCTTAGTCACTCCCTCCCAAGCCTTACCTATAAGGTTTACACAATTGAGGATATTAAAGTGCTCTCTCCAAAACTCTCTTAGAGTCATTGAGTTTCTGAGGTCACTACAAAGCACCTTTCAAACAGAGCTTTTGTGTACAGTTTTTTGAAGTTTGCAATAACCTGCTGGTCCATGGGCTGCAGAGAGGAGTGGTATTAGGAGGCAAAAACTTCACCTTAATGAAGCTCATGTCCCCATAAAGTCGCTCTGCCAAGTCTGTAGGATGACCAGGGGCATTGTCTAACACCAGGAGGCACTTAAGGTCTAATTTTCTTTTCAGTTAGGTAATTTTTCACATTGGGGGCAAATGCTTGGTGTAACCAGTCATAGAAAAAGTCCCTAGTGACCCATGCCTTATTCTTTGCCCTCCACAGCACACACAAATTAGCCTTGAGGATATTCTTTTGCCTGAACGTTCCTGGGAGTTTCAGAGTGATACACTAATAAAGGCTTCACTTTGCAATCACCACTAGCATTGGCACACATGAGAAGAGTAAGCCTGTCTTTCATAGGCTTATGTCCTGGGAGTGCCTTTTCCTCCTGAGTAATGTGGCCCTGCTTGGCATTTTCTTCCAAACAGGCCTGTTTTGTCACAATTAAACACTTGTTCAGGTTCAGTCCTTCACTGTCTATGTACTCCTTGAATTCATGCACATATTTTTCAGCTGCTTTTTGGTCCGAACTGGCAGCCTCACCATGCTTATCACACTATGTATGCCACTACGCCTCTTAAATCTCTCAAACCAACCTTTGCTGGCCTTAAATTCACTCGCATCACCACTAGTTGCAGGCATTTTTCTAATTAAATCCTCGTGCAACTTCCTAGCCTTTTCACTTATGACGCTTGAGAGATGCTATCGCCTGCTATCTGTTTTTTCGTTTATCCACACAATAACAGTCTCTCAACATCTTCTATCACTTGCGATCTCTGCTTCGAAAGCACAGTTAAACCTTTGGCAAGAACAGCTTCCTTGATTGCCGTTCTCTTGGACACAATAGAAGCGATGGTTGATTGGGTTTACTATAACAACCTGGCCAGCTCGGAGACACGCACTCCACTTTCATACTTAGCAATGATCTCTTTCTTCATCTCCATAGTAATTCTCACCCTTATTCCTATAGGGTTGGCACTAGAAGCTTTCTTGGGGCCCATGGTCACTTATTTTTCAGGTGAAATCACTATAAAAAGGCTGTAATAATACGAAATGTTCCGATTGTATGCTTGAATGTTACCGCGGAGGCTGGCTTGTAAACAATGCCACTGGCAGAACAAGTGAGGCTGGCTCAGGCCGCATGGACGTGTCTCGGACGAATCGCGTTGAGCGAATTTTTTAGCACTATGCGAGGCAAAATTTTAGCAATAAAATGTATCGCTATGCGGATTTAACACTATGTGATGCCAACGTTATGCGGGGGTCCACTGTAGAGGGTTTACTAGTTCATAAAGAAATAATGTAGTACATACATATTTACACTAGGAGGTATATAGTTCATGTCTAGATGCATAGTTTGCTGTAACCCCTATTTTGGGAAGTAAAGCATTCTTGACAAAATATAGAACCCAACACAAAAACAGTAATACATACTTTACCATACAAATGATATTATAATTAGCATTAAAACACTAACCTGTCGTCATCTTGCCATTATACAAGGTGAGCACCTCTACATCTTTCAACAAAATACTTTCACCGCTTGTACCCCAAGCAGCTCTCGCAGCTCCTACGAACAATACTAGGACAAGAAGTCCTAAAGCTGCTGACATCTTTTTCACTTTCATTATCACTATGTTGCTTGTGCTAAAACAAAAAGGTTAATATGAATTATAGAAATCTAGGTAATCCTCACAAAAAAAATAGACAAGACACAAGATTCACGGGAAAATGCAACATACACACATAATTAAAATGATCACATACTGATCTGTTCACCATGTTGTGCAGTATAGTGACTGAACAATGTGTTCAGTGCCTGCGTGCACCCCAGGTTAAAATACTGTACAGTATACCTGGAGATGCAGTACATAAGAACATAAGAAAGAAGGGTGGCCCGGTGGCCTGGTGGCTAAAGCTCCCGCTTCACACACAGGAGGGCCCGGGTTCGATTCCCGGCGGGTGGAAACATTCGACACGTTTCCTTACACCTGTTGTCCTGTTCACCTAGCAGCAAATAGGTACCTGGGTGTTAGTCGACTGGTGTGGGTCGCATCCTGGGGGACAAGATTAAGGACCCCAATGAAAATAAGTTAGACAGTCCTCGATGACGCACTGACTTTCTTAGGTTATCTTGGGTGGCTAACCCTCCGGGGTTAAAAATCCGAACGAAATCTTATCTTATCTTAACACTGCAATTCATCCCACTAACAAAACATTTGCCCAACCCAATTTTCAATGCCACCCAAGAAATAAGCTCTGATGTGAAAGTCCCACTCAAATCCAACCCCTCCCACTCATGTACTTATCCAACCTAAATTTGAAACTACCCAAAGTCCCAGCCTCAATAACCCAACTAGGTAGACTGTTCCACTCATCTACTACCCTATTTCCAAACCAATACTTTCCTATGTCCTTTCTAAATCTAAACTTATCTAATTTAAATCCATTACTGCGGGTTCTCTCTTGGAGATTTTTTTAGATTTAGATTTTGCCACCGAAGTGGCTAGTTTATTGTGCACCCCATATCCATCCTGTGGACGGTAGCGCGAGAGCATATGGATACACAAAAGGCCTAGGAACTAGGCCCCAAAGGGTTAACAGGAATACATATGGATTTATATCTACATATCTATAGTTCACTTATCTGTTACATGCAAATTTAGGAAATTTGCTTAGTATATCTGGTATCTTATTTTCATTAATAAGATATCTTGACATGTCACATAGGTTATTATACTGTCTGTCTCTGTATTCCTCAATGAGTGGACAATTAAGCACATAGTGTTCAAGAGAGTGACCATATGCCTGATCACATAATTTACATTTAGTTTGATCATCATCTGTGTGTCTCCCAAACTGCCAGAAGTACTTGTAACCAAGCCTAAGCCTGGCCACTACAACATCAGTCAGTCTGTTCACATTGCAAGTTGCTCCATAAACATATCTCTTGGAGAGAGATCCTCAAGACCTTATTAATATCCCCTTTATTAATACCTATCTTCCACTTATACACTTCGATCAGGTCTCCCCTCTACAAATGATTACAAATTATTAATCATTATCATTATTACACTGGAAATGCTAAATCAGTAAAGGGTCACACAATGCCTGGGAAATGGGAAGTAAGCAGGTTCAATCCAAGGAAAAGGAGAGTAGCTCTAATTCTCTGGATTAAGAGCCCTTTGCCAGCATCATGGTAAACCCATTGAAGTTTACTTTATATACTGTACAAAGTTAACAAAGCAAATATAATTGCTGGCATAAGCTCCCTACCTATCTAGGTTAAAATAAGCTTCAATAAGGCTCATAACATATGGTTTTATAAAATAGTTGCAATTAACTGTGATAGGCATATACAGTGAAATAAGTAAAAGAAATGTGAAGTAAGTGAAAGAAAGTAAAGTCTATTTAGGCACAGGTACACCTAAGTACAATTATCATGGGTATCCTGGGCAATTTATACATATGTTAAACTATGTATGATAATGGTACTCATGTGTATCTGTACCTAAATAAAACTTATTTAACTACGAGTCTTTGCTGGATAAGTCACATTGTCTGACTTTTTGAGGTTATCCTGGGTAATTTATACACGTTACTATGTATGATAATTTGTGTGACTATTTATGTGTAGTACCTCAGCTGAGGGACTAATTACCTCATCTTGTGTATATAGTTCTACTGTCTTCTAATTATGCCCTTAAATTTGTATTGATAAAGCTAATAGATGGGCGAAACATCTACAATAAAGATACCTCGATGGTCTAATTCTTCATCTTGTAGGTATTGTATTATACAATACCTACAAGACGCATACCGTACATATTGTACATGAGTAGTATACAATTTATATACCATAAATGTATAACATATGCATCTGTAACTAAATATTATTATTATTATAATCAAGGGGGAAGCGCTAAACCCGGAGGATTATACAGCGCCTGGGGGGGGGGGATGTGGAAGGCATTCAGGCTTAATTCGGGGAACTGGAGCACAGATCCAATTCTCTAAATCAAGAGCCCCTCACCAACATCAAGGAACCTTCCTTGAGGGGTGTAACTAAATAAACCTACCAAATTCGACCCCAGAAATTCCTGAAAATCAGCCAACTTCTGGTACTGAAGTCTCCTGACGTATATGCTGACACTTGAGTGTGTTCTGGTCTCTGTCTCGAGTGCTGACAGCACGGTAATGGTGGTATATATCCTGAGTTAACACTGACAGACAGACACCTCTATACAGACATCACCTGACTCAAAATAATCATCACTTGACGTCACAGTGATGTCCAACACACTAGTCTCTCTCTCATTGGTTGCTTCCATTACCATCCATAACTTTCACTAATATTAGTAAAATATTAGTAAATTAGCTTATTCAGGTACACCTACACATATATACAGGTATGTAAATTATTATACACAGCAGCATGTGTGTAGATTATATAGGATAACCCCCAAAAAAAAGGTCAAAGTGACTTATTTCCATGATACAGTGTTTGTACAGAGTGACATTTGGTTGTGTAAGTAAGTAAGTAAGTTTATTTAGGTATACAAAAATAAACTTGTGTAGATTATCATACATAGAGCACCTAGGATAACCCACAAAAGGTCAAACAAGTAAAGCAAAGTAAGTAAAGTAAATAAGTAAATAAAGCAAGTCAAATCAGTTAATACGTAAAGCAAGTAAGGTAAGTAAATAAGTAAGTAAAGCAAGTCCGGTAAGTAAATAAGTAAAACAAGTACATACATGTACTTGCAGAAACAAAGATATTATTTTTAGGAGTATTAAAGTAAGTCAAGTAAATAAGTACGTAAAATAAGTCAAGTAATTAAATAAGTTAAGTAATTAAATAAATAAGTGAAATAAGTCAGGTGAATAAAATAAGTTTGTTTAATACACATTAACATGTGTCACTTCGGATAAACCGAAAAAGGTCAGACCAGGTGACTGAATTTCAGTGTAAGTTTATATTTAGGCCTTATACACAATTTAGCCTAGGATAAGCCAATAATTTAAAAAAATGACACATTTCGACTGGGTCCTTTAATTAATTACATCACTAGTGTGCTGCTACCCTATTCTATATAATACTGTGCCTTACTCTATATAATATTATGCCCTATTCTATATACTAGTGTGCCCTATTCTATATACTAGTGTGCCCTATTCTATATACTAGTATGCCCTATTCTATATAATAGTTGCATAGTGTGGCCTATTATATATAATAGTTACATAGTGTGCATATTCTATATAATAGCCACAAAATATGAACAAAAGCTAGGTATAGTTCCCTGACGTATTCCATCACTCAGGATGGGTGCCATGCATCACAGGATGGGTTCCATGCATCACAGGATGGGTTCCATGCGTCACAGGATGGGTTCCATGCGTCACAGGATGGGTTCCATGCATCACAGGATGGGTTCCATGCATCACAGGATGGGTTCCATGCGTCACAGGATGGGTTCCATGCATCACAGGATGGGTTCCATGCATCACAGGATGGGTTCCATGCGTCACAGGATGGGTTCCATTCATCACAGGATGGGTTCCATGCATCACAGGATGGGTTCCATGCGTCACAGGATGGGTTCCATGCATCACAGGATGGGTTCCATGCATCACAGGATGGTTCCATGCGTCACAGGATGGGTTCCATTCATCACAGGATGGGTTCCATGCATCACAGGATGGGTTCCATGCATCACAGGATGGGTTCCATGCGTCACAGGATGGGTTCCATTCATCACAGGATGGGTTCCATGCATCACAGGATGGGTTCCATGCGTCACAGGATGGGTTCCATTCATCACAGGATGGGTTCCATGCATCACAGGATGGGTTCCATGCGTCACAGGATGGGTTCCATTCATCACAGGATGGGTTCCATGCATCACAGGATGGGTTCCATTCATCACAGGATGGGTTCCATGCGTCACAGGATGGGTTCCATGCATCACAGGATGGGTTCCATGCATCACAGGATGGGTTCCATTCATCACAGGATGGGTTCCATGCATCACAGGATGGGTTCCATGCATCACAGGATGGGTTCCATGCATCACAGGATGGGTTCCATGCATCACAGGATGGGTTCCATGCATCACAGGATGGGTTCCATTCATCACAGGATGGGTTCCATGCATCACAGGATGGGTTCCATGCATCACAGGATGGGTTCCATGCATCACAGGATGGGTTCCATGCATCACAGGATGGGTTCCATGCATCACAGGATGGGTTCCATTCATCACAGGATGGGTTCCATGCATCACAGGATGGTTCCATGCATCACAGGATGGGTTCCATGCGTCACAGGATGGGTTCCATTCATCACAGGATGGGTTCCATGCATCACAGGATGGGTTCCATGCGTCACAGGATGGGTTCCATTCATCACAGGATGGGTTCCATGCATCACAGGATGGGTTCCATGCATCACAGGATGGGTTCCATGCATCACAGGATGGGTTCCATGCATCACAGGATGGGTTCCATGCATCACAGGATGGGTTCCATTCATCACAGGATGGGTTCCATGCATCACAGGATGGGTTCCATGCATCACAGGATGGGTTCCATGCATCACAGGATGGGTTCCATGCATCACAGGATGGGTTCCATGCATCACAGGATGGGTTCCATGCATCACAGGATGGGTTCCATGCATCACAGGATGGGTTCCATGCATCACAGGATGGGTTCCATGCATCACAGGATGGGTTCCATTCATCACAGGATGGGTTCCATGCATCACAGGATGGGTTCCATTCATCACAGGATGGGTTCCATTCATCACAGGATGGGTTCCATGCATCACAGGATGGGTTCCATGCATCACAGGATGGGTTCCATGCATCACAGGATGGGTTCCATGCATCACAGGATGGGTTCCATGCATCACAGGATGGGTTCCATTCATCACAGGATGGGTTCCATGCATCACAGGATGGGTTCCATGCATCACAGGATGGGTTCCATGCATCACAGGATGGGTTCCATGCATCACAGGATGGGTTCCATTCATCACAGGATGGGTTCCATGCATCACAGGATGGGTTCCATGCATCACAGGATGGGTTCCATGCATCACAGGATGGGTTTCCATGCATCACAGGATGGGTTCCATGCATCACAGGATGGTTCCATGCATCACAGGATGGGTTCCATGCATCACAGGATGGGTTCCATGCATCACAGGATGGGTTCCATGCATCACAGGATGGGTTCCATGCATCACAGGATGGTTCCATGCATCACAGGATGGGTTCCATGCATCACAGGATGGGTTCCATGCATCACAGGATGGGTTCCATGCATCACAGGATGGGTTCCATGCATCACAGGATGGGTTCCATGCATCACAGGATGGGTTCCATGCGTCACAGGATGGGTTCCATGCATCACAGGATGGGTTCCATGCATCACAGGATGGGTTCCATGCGTCACAGGATGGGTTCCATGCATCACAGGATGGGTTCCATGCATCACAGGATGGGTTCCATGCGTCACAGGATGGGTGCCATGCATCACAGGATGGGTTCCATGCATCACAGGATGGGTTCCATGCGTCACAGGATGGGTTCCATGCATCACAGGATGGGTTCCATGCATCACAGGATGGGTTCCATGCATCACAGGATGGGTTCCATGCATCACAGGATGGGTTCCATGCATCACAGGATGGGTTCCATGCATCACAGGATGGGTTCCATGCGTCACAGGATGGGTTCCATGCATCACAGGATGGGTTCCATGCATCACAGGAATGGGTTCCATGCGTCACAGGATGGGTTCCATGCATCACAGGATGGGTTCCATGCATCACAGGATGGGTTCCATGCGTCACAGGATGGGTGCCATGCATCACAGGATGGGTTCCATGCATCACAGGAGGGGTTTTCCATGCGTCACAGGATGGGTTCCATGCGTCACAGGATGGGTTCCATGCATCACAGGATGGGTTCCATGCGTCACAGGATGGGTTCCATGCGTCACAGGATGGGTTCCATGCATCACAGGATGGGTTCCATGCATCACAGGATGGGTTCCATGCATCACAGGATGGGTTCCATGCATCACAGGATGGGTTCCATGCATCACAGGATGGGTTCCATGCATCACAGGATGAAATTGTCAATTTGATATACTACTAGAATTATTGTTATTTTAATAACCGGGAAACTGAGAGCCTAAGGGAAATTTTGGGAAACAAAAGCCTCGCCCCCCCCCGGTTGTTATAAAACGCCTGGAGGAATAGGTAATCAGGTTTGATCCAAGGAAGGGGATGGTAGCGCCAAGCCCAGCATCAGAGACATACTATGATACTGACAGATTTCATAGCTTAAAAATATGCAGTATATGTATAATTTTATTTAGGCCTCATACGAAATTGTAAAAATTTAATAATAATAACCAATAATAATAACCTGATCAGCCGGGCTGTGGCTCGTACGTTGGTTTGCGTGCAGCCAGCAGCAACAGCCTGGTTGATCAGGCGCTGATCCACCAGGAGGCCTGGTCACAGACCGGGCCGCGGGGGCGTTGACCCCCCGAAACTCTCTCCAGGTAAACTCCAGGTAATGTGATTTTATTTTGAGCGGAGACCATCTTGTATTCAAAGTTTATTCTCTATAAGGATTACAATGCTGAGTTTACAGAAATTTGGTTATTGTTTGGTTTAACATGTAGTAAAATTGAGATTACAGAGTGTACCTCTAGAACGCTTAGCATGGCTAGGCATTTCGGGCATACTTAGTTTTATTCTTAAATGTAAAATATTACAAATTATGAGGTAAGTTGGTATTATGGCTAAGTGACTAAATACTATTTTGTGAGTTTAGAAATGTGAATGCTTTTGTTTAGGCACAGTATATAGTTTCAGTATTAGAGTATCACAGGATTCATTATATTAAGACTGAGATTAATATTTCTGTTTATGGTCAAATGAGTGAGCGAGTGTAAGTGTGAACCACCAGGTGGTATTCGTGAAGTTAGTTGACGGGGTGTATCAGGGAGATAAGATGTTTTCTAATGGTAGTTTTGAAGGTGATGAATGTGTCTGCAGTTCTAGAGTTCTCAGGTAGGGTATTCCAGATTTTAGGGCCTTTGACATACATTGAATTTTTGTTAAGGTTTAGTCGGACACGGGGAATGTCATAGAGATGTTTGTTTCTGGTGTTATGCCTGTGGGTTCTGTCACAACTATCAAGAAAGCGTTTAAGGTCAAGGTTGATATTAGAGTTTAAGGCCCTGTAGATATAGATTGCACAGTAGTAAGTGTGGATGTACTGAACTGGGAGTAAGTTTAGATCTTTGA